GACACAGTTGAGCCCAGCAGTGGAGTCTGTGATAATGCAGTCACTCTCTTCCAGACAAGAGGGGTGAAGCAAGGACGGAGGTATGCTGACTTCATTCAGACGGTTCGTACAGCCAGTATTGTTCTCCATCATTTCCTCTCTTTCCTCCTTAAGCTCTTTCTCCTCATGGAGCGCTGATTGTTTCCATATGGTGACAGGCTGCCCGAGTACATCCCTAGCAATGCACGAGCCCAAATTAACCCCTCTTAACTCCAACAAAGCCCTCTCGGAGGGGTCACTAGGACCAATCTCTGGCTCTGTTACAATCCCTTCATCTGTTAAACTCGACTCGTGGCCTGAAAGTTCATCCACGGAACGGTCATAGCACACACTTTCTTCCGAGTCCCCCTTCAGTAACGCTCTCGCTGTCTCTCTGTTCTGTCTCTGCACCTTCTCCTGGTAGTCTGTATCCCTACTGTTTAGCTTCTCGGGCTGCATACTTTGTCCATCCCTCTCTCTCTTCTCCCTCTCCCCATTCTCTCTCTCCCCCTCATGTTTATCTCTTGCCGCTGTGGTCTTAAATTCAGCCCCTTGTTCTGTTTCTGCCTCACCTTCAGTACTCATTCCTTTTCTCTTCTCTTCATCTGTTTTGTTGATTCTCTGTTGATCTTCAAAGTCATTCAGACTTTTCATCTCAATATCATCGTCTTCTCTGGTGCTCATCTGACAGATATCCTGAATAACCTGTCGGGCTTCCTGTACGTATCTTTCTTGCAATGGTGTTGGCATCACTTCCTCGTCATCGTCATCATACCCATAATCCAACAACCTCTGTCTTCTTCCGATCCTTGAGTCACCTCCATCGCTTTCTACTTCTCTGTCACACAGGGACACACTACTGCCACTCTTCTCTCTATTCAGGTCAAGCTGTTGCTCGGAAGGGCTTCTTGTGGTTGTACCACCTGCCAGGTAACAACGCAGCGTTGACTGGGATTTACCAGAATATGTGAAGGACTTTGCACGCCGCAGAGTAGCCGTCAAGTCTTTGAGGGACAAGCGACGACCAGCGGGCAACAAGGTCCCACTGTGACTCTGTGGGCCGAGTCCAAATTGTTCTTCCTCACTAGTTTTCCGCACCTTCGGCTCTGACGAGTCTGATTTCAGGATATTTAGCTGTGTCATTGTTTCTGTTGCGATATCAGGGTTGGATTTGGATATTCCATTTTTTAAACCTGTCCTATCCTCTCCTGTTGTCTGCTGTAATCTCATGGCCTCAGTTAATCTTCCTTCTCTAGCGAGGACACCAGCAGGGGAAGTGACTGTGGGCACAATCTTGGGGCGAGTCCGCACTTGGGTACGAGGGAAATTATCCCCATGTCCAAAGCTAGGGGAACGGTACATGGTAAAATTCCCATAGTACGTTTTACTCAACATAGATGAGGAAGCATTTCTGGCAGTGTTGTCTCCACCAGTGTTCAAAAACTTGCTTGCTCCACGGTTGCTGCAGCTTTGTTGGTCCTCCACCTTGAGTGCCTCAGTGCTGGAATATCGGCTGCTATAACGAGAGCCAAAAGGGGGGATGTTGACCTTTGATACTCGAGACACAGCAGGAAGTGTTGAGGATGCCACAGGTGAAGAGATGTGCTCCCATTGCTGCTGCACCCTGGTTCTGTTCATGTGAAAAGTGGGTTCTCTTGCAGAGTGGCTCCGTGACAGTCTTTGCACTAGCTCTCCTCCTGTGGTCGCATGGCGTGGCTTATCCAAATGCTCCATGGTCACGGAGGGCTCACTGTCGCTGTCGTCTGATTCGCCATCGCGATCGTTACGATCATCACGGCCTGTCGCTGAAGCACCACCACAGAAACGCTTCTTTTTTCTCAGAGAGCGGCGCCGCCCAGCCTCCCTACTGGATGGTCCTAAAGAACCAGGACTCTCCTCCTCACTGCCCGAAGACCTACCGATGCCCTTCGCACTCCACCGGCCATTTTTACTGCGGGACAAATAACTTTCACCTCGCTCTGTGTCACCCCTTTCTCCTCCACTGATGCCAACAAAAGGATGAGAGGGGCCACTCCAGCCTGCACCTTCTCTTTTTCTTCTGCTACGCTCCTCCTCCTCGTTTCCAGAGCTAAACCTCCAGCGAGAGCTACGCAGAGAGTCAAATTTGGCAGGGGCTGAGGAGGGAGGTACAGTTGAGAAGGAGGTAATGGCTTTATCTAGAGCTGGAGCACAGAGGGGGAACAAGGGGGGAGAGTCGGGAGCTGTAGAGGAGCTATGTGAGGAATGTAAACTATCCCTCGCCAGCCCGACCCCCTGACTAACCCTTCTCTCCCTCACTATTGGCTCCTGAAGAAAGGAGGCGCAAAAGGTGTCCTGGCTCACCAAACTGTGCCGAGAAGTAGTAGCAGAGGTCTGAAGGTCACTGTGGGGGTCAGGGGTCAACTCGATCAGTGTGGGAGTTTGAGGGGAAGCCTCTGCTACTGAGTTGGGGCTGTTACATCTGAAAGGAGACGAGCTACTTTTTTGATCACGGCAATCCTGAGAACAACTCCAAATGCTACTGTTTTGAATGTTTTTTCTACCACATATCCTGTCATTACAATAACCTGAAGATAAGTGTTCTTCCTCATCAAGCATATACTGCTGCTCATATATTTTGGAGCGCAAGTCCATAGTGTCACAAAGTGTCTGGTTGACAGCAGTGCTGTTTGGGCTCTGTCCTTCAACTAAGCTCGCCTGAGACAAATATGGACTTTTGGCTTCATTAGTTGAAGTGCAAAATGAGAGTTTGCTGCTTTTATCCAGAAGAGGGCAACCCTCAGGTTTGCTTCGCTGGCTTAAATCACATCTACCAACCAGTCTTAAATTCTCATAATTGTGGCCTTGCTTCTGTCTCTCATCAAAAAGTTGTCGAATTTTTGTCACACTGGGCCATTTATCAGAATGCAGGGAAATAAATTCACTGCAATGTGTGGATGGGTAAGTTGTGTGAGATTTACAAGGTCCATTAATCGTAACGTCCTCTTCATTATTGATAATACAATTCTTTTGGGGATCAGATGCGCAAGATTTTTTCTTACCAGTGTTGTCGTTTGTTATCAGTGCACAAGTCCGACTTTTAATTCTTCTCTCAGAGTCCGAACCAGAGACAGAGTCCGTGCTGGAGTTGAACTTTTGCACTTTGTCCAAAAAAGATTTGTTGTCCGTCAAGATTGCTGCGCCGCCGTCATGGTGCAAGGATAGTCGAGACAGAGAGCTGCTCCTCCTGGAGGTTCTGACGCGGGGAAGTGTGCTGCTCTCACGCGGCACTGCTGTAACGTCTCCCGGCCAGGCGTTGTTGATCCTCTCGGAGCCTCCTCCTCCCCCACTTTTACAACTGCTGCTGCTGTTACTGAATTTCTCGGTGAGTTGGCGGATAGAGGGAGAAATGGAGGAGAGAGGGGCGGAGGAGGCTTTCTTTGGCTCTGCGGTCCCGGTGGTTGTGGTGGAAGAGATTTTGGAAACTTTTCTTGACGCACTGACATGACGCTGTTCTGACCGGCTGGGCTCAAGAGGAAGAGAGCCACCGGCTGCCTCCAAATACTCACATTTGTCTTGTACCTCCTCACTTTTGTTGGCGCCCCGCGAGCCCAAATTCTTAAAAGAGACGCTGCGGTACACCGATGCATTCCTCTTGTGTCTCTCTGCCATTTTGCATAGTTGTCTTTAAGTCACGCCGCACGCTGCATCCTCTTTGAATTAAAAGCCATTTTGCACCTCGCAACCGAAATGCAACAACTTTTACCAAAGTCTGGGAACGTCAGTTGTTAAAACTCACATGTTGGCGATTCCACAGTCGATTTTTTTGTGTGCTCGCCAACTGGTCATCGTTGGCTTAACGTGTGCCCATTAAGCAAGTCACCCTCGCATCAGTCTGTTCTTTCCCCAGAACTGTTTGTGGATTCTCTATTTTGGAATTTGTATTTCCGTGACTTGTGTTTTTTTTTTCTGTGCATGTTAATGCCTGAGATAGGGCAAGTGGGAGTGGGCGGGACTAGGGGGTAGGGGCTGTCATAACCCCCTCGGGGATAGAGAGGAAAAGCCCCCCCACATCCCTCTATTTTTGATAAGAGGAGGCAGATACTGCGCACTGAATGGCTGTACGACAGCGCTGCAACAGAATTATGCCAATTGGTAGAACAAAGTTAACTGTCTTTCATTTTGGTTGATTTTAGATTCAAGCCAGTGCATCCCTTTTGTACAGCACTGGGGGTGAATGTACTATATGACAGCATACACGGTTCCTTTTCAGTTCACAATAAAGTCTCCGTCGCGCTTCTCAGTCTGCTTTCCATGTCCTTTTGTTCGAAAGGGGAATTACACGCTGTGATTTGGTTAACTTTGTATACAGCTCCCCCCAGAGGCTAATTTTGAGCATGACAGAGAGATTTATGAGGGCAGGTCATTTGAAGATGAGGTTAAACGACTGAAGTAAAATTGTGCATGATAAAGTATTGTGGGGCGACGGGAACTATAAATATAGTTATTTGAGTTACACTTGTGTGTAAATCTGACCATTTTACGAATATTTTTTAATGTATTTTAAGAAATAAATTAATCTACTGTTTAATTAGATAAATGCATTAAAATAAATGAAAAACAAAAACGATTAGCGTAATTTTAATTAACTATTAGAGGACTCTTGATAAATTAAATACTACGTGGGCAGATTATAGAAGATACTTTGCCCAACCCTGCATTTGATACAACTTAAATTAAATCAACATGAGAATGTCTTGCCTCCGCTGGAAAAGATGCAGTCATCCCATCACACAATCAAATTAAAGACTTGATTTAATGCATTCTAAATCTGCAGTTGGATGTGTCTTTTAATGTTGGTGATGTGCAACTTTGAATTCTGTTGTTATATGTCTTATAAAAACATTGTACCTCACAAATTCCCTTTTGTTTACAGCTGTTCAATCTTTTCTTTTTAGCTGTTCAATCCACTTAAAGGACGTATGCACGTTAAGGAAATGAAATAAATCGTAGTCACAGGTTTAATCAGTGTGTCAACATCCCAAAAGTTGTTCACTAACAAAACAATAGAAGCAGATTTAACTCACCTAACAAAATAGAACTGTATTGCTGATGCTAGCCCAAGGTTATGTCATGTTTTGGCACAGTTCAGAACACTCTTGTCACACATGAAACATGTAATCACTAGAGTAAATATTGCAAAAAGTAAACACATTTAAACGCAAGAATCAGTCAACTTATTAATCCTCAGCAGTGTCACAGTATCATGAAACAAATACCGCACAATGGAATGGCTCGAAATCCTTACAGTCAAAATGAGAGATCATGTGCAAGAAAAGCTTAGTGCAAAACTAATGTATAACTTTGGTGAAATGGAATGTGACTGTCACCTAGTGGAGAAAAGGCAACAAGGATTTATAAAACGGTCCAAAAGTATTGCACAAAACATAATACAGTACCGCACGATAATTAGTCTTGTTCCCACACCATCGACCATCATATTGCCGTAATCCAGAATCAAATACTGGTTGCAATGTTCCTAAAATACAATTTACATGCTGTATCACTTCATCCAACATACTAGAGCACAGTTCAAGACGGAAATTGAATCTTACAATGTTACAATATACCGTTCACAGTGCTCATTAGCAAGGAAAAAAAAAAGAAATAAATCATACACACGCACACACACACGTTGACTCATGCACTGCTGGTACCGTTCACAGTGCTCATTAGCAAGGAAAAAAACAGAAATAAATCATACACACGCACACGCACACACACACGTTGACTCATGCACTGCTGTCCTTTTCCCTCAGGGTGGTGACTCTGCGGACAAACCTTTTGGTGCTCTGTCTGTACCGTGGCTGAGTAAAGTAGAAGAGAATGGGGTCCAGAAAACTATTCATACTGGCAAATGGTCTGGTACTCTTATAGATGATAGAAAACAGATTTCTGGTCTCGCAGGACACATTCGGAAGCGTGCGCACTACTAGGTATGAGGTCTTGGTGAGGTGAAAGGGCAGAAAACTGACGCAGAATGCAGCTGCCACCACAATGATCATTTTCACAGCCCTGTCGCGTTTGTCCCTCGTCTGTATGTTGACGCCTTGGTAGGACACGGGGAGGCACAAGATGTGGGCCATTCTGCAGTAGCAAATCATCACACCTGTAAAAGGCAAGAGGAAGCCGAGGCAGGTGAGGGCCATGCCGTATGGGTAGTAGTCCGAAGACTGCTTTGGCGTGCTTAAGTCGTAACAGACGGTGCGGTTGCGCTGAATCCCCGTGGAGGCAAAGTGAAATGTGGGCGCGCAGAGGAAGACCACAAGCAGCCACACCCCTCCGCAAATGAGCCACGCCAGTTTGCGTCCACCTTGCTTGTGCCACATCGCCAGTGGGTGACAGATGCCAATGTAGCGATGCACACTGATGCAGGTGAGGAAGAGGATGCTGCCATGTAGGTTACTGTAATCATGACAAATAAACAGGACATCAACTGCATTCGACTCCAAAAACAGCGAATGACAGCAGAGTAAGTTTGAAGAAACGGACTGTTTCAAAGTATGGAAATTAGTTTCATGTCTACAAATAACAATGAGCCTCACCTGTAGAACTGAAATCGGACCAGTTTGCATAAAAACTCCCCAAAGGGCCAGTAATCATGACTGCCATAGTTATAGATGAGCAGGGGAAGTGATGTCACATACAGGAAGTCGGCTATGGCCAAGTTGAGCATGAAGATGTTGTTGCGGGACAGACTGGGCCGCCCCCTCCATATCTTCAGTATGACGGCCGCGTTAAGCGGCAGGCCCAACAGCAAGACAAATGTGTACACGGCCGGGAGGAGGATCCGTTTGAAGTCCTCCTTATAAGTGCAGCGTGGGACTCCTTGTCGACTGACATTAATGACGATGGGCAGCAGAACGGCCGCTGTGTTTTGATCTGTGGACTGGTGACTTGTATTGAAGACGTCCAACGTGAAGGTTTTGGAGATCAGAGTTTCCGTTGTGAGAGATTCAAAAAAATGTGGCATCTTCAGGTCCTGGATAAGAGACAAAGAGAAATAGTCATGAAGGTGACTTATCGAGTTAATGCAAATTTGTTGCAGAGAGCATGGATACCAGAGCTAACCCTGGTCAATCTTTCGAGGGGAAGTCAAGTCAAAAATGTTCCGAACAACAATACCCTCCACATTGGTTCTTGACAATAATTATGTTCTGTATTGAGCAGCAAAATCAATGAACATGGTTAGGCAAAATGTTTTGGAGTGAAAGTGTGCATTTTACGAGTATTTAGGAATTGTGGTGGAGTAAAAGTACAAATGTGTGAACGTTTTACTTAAGTGACAGGATATTTGTACTCTGTTATATTACAAGACATTTGTGTTGTGTCAATATTTCAAATATCACTGACACATCAACTCTGTTCAGACAATGATTCAGAGGTACTATTTCACAATTCACACCCACGTGTGTGTGTGTGTGCAAGCATGCCTGGATTCAATTTTGAAGTGTGAATATGTCTGTGTCAATGGATATGCCGTTTGTCATACTGTGATTTCGTAATATCGAAGAAAGGGAAGTGTGCCAGGGGGCTGTAGAACATGCCTCTACGCTGAGCCGATAAGTAGACATTGATTCACAAAGGCCTCTTAGCTGCTTTTTAGCAAATTACATCACCATTTATTTTATTTTTTTGGAGAAATAATATTACTTCATCTAGTCCTGCTATCCATCCATTTTCTAATGTGCTTATCCTCACGAGGGTCGCGGGCCTGCTGGAGCCTATCTCAGCTGACTTCGGGCAGTCGGGTACACCCTGAACTGGTAGGCAGCCAATCGCAGGGCATACATAGACAAACAATCATTCACACTCACTATCACTCCTGGGGACAATTTGGAGTGATCCAATTAACCTGCCATGCATGTTTTTGGAATGTGGGGGGGAAACCAGAGTACCATGCAAAGTATGCAAAGTAAAGTTCTCCTGTCACAACAGTAGTGAAAGGCAGTACATGTACTTATTACTATCCTGAGGGAACCTCGTCTTGGCACTGTTCTGGTTTCACAATCACGAGCGAAGACGATAGAAGTGAAAAATATGAAATGGTTTTATGGTCCATGCAAGCCGTGGCATGTAAATTACGAATCAATGCAGGAAACATAGCTAACTTCTCAGCCAACTGAATAAGGCAAAGCGAAAAACTGTCTTAAGTCCGGCATTTTATCCTGAGAGAACCCCATCTTGGCACTGTTTTGGTTTCACTACCACGAGTGAAGAGAGAAGTGAAAAACATGAAACGGCTTTCTGTTCCATGCAAGTTCTGACATGCAAATTACGAATTAAAGCAGAAAATATAACTAAATTCTCTAGCAAATAATTAAGGCTGAGCAAAACCGGTCTCTGATTGTACGTTCAGCATATGCATGTTAACAAAAGTGGCTAAAAAAAACACTTTGGAGAATGCGGGCATCGATCCCGCTACCTCTCGCATGCTAAGCGAGCGCTCTACCATTTGAGCTAATTCCCCTTCTGAGGGAAGAGCTCCCAAACGTAACTAATATAAGGTCCAGAGTCTTGTTGGGTGCGACAGATTTCGGGACCAATTCACTGAATTGAATTGAATTGAATTGAATTGAATACAACTTAATTGTCAAATGTGTACGTCCCAAGTACTGCTTGCTTCAGTTTCAGCTGGCTACTAGTCCGCCAGATCACGCTGTGGAGTCTTTCCTAAATCATTAACCATCGAACGAAAGGCAGTATCACGAAACCAAAGGTATGATTTCTATCCTGAAAGAAACCCATCTTGGCTGTGTTCTGGTTTCACCACCACGGTCGAAGAGAAGTAAAAACGGCTGTATGTTCCGTGCAAGTCGGGGCACGCAAATTGCGAATCAATGTAGGACACAAACATAGCTAATTTCTCAGCCAATTGAACGAGGCTCAGCAAAAAACAAACAAACAAACTCTGGCCCCACATACTGCATAGGTTTCATTACAACCAGTAAAGAAAAAGAAGCATTGGAGAATGCGGGCATCGATCCCGCTACCTCTCGCATGCTAAGCGAGCGCTCTACCATTTGAGCTAATTCCCCTTGCAGCACATAGGAACCGGATGTGCAATTGGGATATGCTACAAGAATAACGCCGCAAATTGGTCCTGCTACTTACCTTTACTGACGGCAACAATCAACAGGTAAACGAATTTTCCACCATAGATGAAGACTCCTGCGGCTCGTCTGCTGGTAGTGGGGCACAACTTCTAACGAATTCCTTCAGTATTGTTTTACAACACGGAGGTTGGACTTATGATACCATCTTTTCAGAAGCGACGCGCTAAGCATTCTTTACACTTTCCCCGAGGCACACAAAGTTTATTGGTCCTCCCACGCGCGTGTGAGGATCGAGTCCACGCATGCGCAATAAATCACTTTTATTTCGATTCGCGACTGCGCGTGCCTGGACGTGTAATTTATGTAGTTTTAATACTTTTTAATTGTAATAGGATAGTCACGAATCTCCTTTTTACTTTTTCCCGAGTGAGACTGTCATGTTTTGCAAAGTATCTCACTCGACATCTAACATCTATTGTTGTGAGCAAATCACAACCATTCAAAATCATATATATATATATTTTGTTTTTGTAGATAGCCTTCCAAAAACCGTAAAATGCACCTGGCATACATTTACTGAATGAGCTCTTGCCACACTCATTTTTATGGAAGCGTGAAACTGCCAATATGGAGAAAACTTTTTTGGCTGGCAAAAAAGGTTAAATGTAATTAATTACGAACTAATCAATGGTATGATAAAACTTCAATGGTTGCACAATTTTTTAAAAGGTATTGTGGACAATTTTTGGTTTCCATATTCCCTTGAAAATATTTGAGAAACGTGGTGGAATGGATGTTTTATTCAGGTGTGATTTTTTTTTTTTTTACAACCCCCACCTCCACCCCCTCAAAAATCATGACTCGACCTGAAAAATTCAATATTTTTGGGAACTATCTGAAGCAAACAGCAATTTATATGTTCACCATTGGTTAACTACATTGCTTTATGGTATAAATCGTAGATTCCAAACAGAAAACGTTTTGCTTTTGCAATTCTCCAATCACCAAATTGGCTGCAGAAAACACAGACATTCCCTCTGCAAAAAAATGAAAGAAAAAATCCAAAAGGCTTGTCCAATTAGGCATGCGTCATTTGCGACAGCAGTTCTGACTTGTGCGTGAGTGAAGGTTCATGTTGCACAACCCAGTCGGAAGACTGAGATCACTCAAGAGAGAAGTGAAAGAGTATCATCAGTATGTCTGATACTAGTTATTTCCTCAAAAAAATAGGGGAAAAAAGCAAATTGTACAGTATAAATATAAGGAATGCTATATATATATATTACAATTTTCTGGATGCACGTACAGGTTCAGTAACTTACACTGTCTGAATAATTAAGTGAATAAAAAAAAAAAAATCAGGTAAGCCATGCTTCCTTTTGTAGGAAAATTTTAATAGTTATTCAATGTTCTACATTTTACAGTAAATATACAATTACAAACTTGGCTTAGTTATAGTACTAAGATCACTAACTGATCTTACAAAAAAATAATCCAACATTAAAAAAAAAAAACATTAAAATAAAAAAATCAAGACAGATTTACACTTCATATCACAAGCCTGACGCAGGTCCTTCACTCTGGACCAAATAGCTAACAAACAATTCACTTCTCTCAACGCGTAATAGACGTTGGGCTTCAGTTTCCGAACACAACCAAATGGAAAATACCATTGCATGTGCAAACTGGGTACCAAAAAAAAACTTCCAAAAGTTGGATTGTTCCTAATACTTGATCCAAGAGGGATGGATGCAAGTATGCTTGCTTTCTTTCTTTTTTTTTCTTTTTTGTTTTTTTTTTTTAATGGAAGACAAGGAATTTCCACTTTTTGCATCACATTTAGTGTCAAATTGAACCAAGAGTTATCGTTGACAAGTTGAAATAAAAATGCTGCAGCAGAACATCCAGGACACTATTTACTGTGATAGTAGTGTTTTAATTTGCATTGGACAATAAAGTAAGACCAAGCAACTGAAAGGCAAAACAAAGAAGAAAGAAGTGGTGGAAATGAAGGAGAGCGGTTTTCTGAATGGTTTGGTCACACTTTCACTGGCAAAGTGGAAAAAAAAAAAATCAACGTCAGGGAAAAGAGACCAGTAAACTGTTTTTTTTTTTTTTTTCATACAACGCTCAGGACAGAATAAAGTAGGGAAGTACAACTACATTTACCCTCAACACACATAAGTGTTTAACTGTCCATTTTTAATTTAAGTGCAAATTGAAATCAACAAGAGGCAAGGAATGGAATCGAATGAGGAAGCATCACTGTGGAAAACAACTGCTTTGAGCTAATTGTTTTGGGTAATGATCTGAAACAACTAAAATGCAGATCTGCCGCGCTAGCTTCCACATTAAAAGAGGCAATGTGTAAGCACCACAACAATTTTTTGTCTTAAAACTTATACATGTATATATATATAGAAAATGGCAACATGGTCTGTCATCTAACTACTGTTCATCACTTGTTCAAACATTGTCACTGGTGACACGTGCTGCCTACATTTGCTCTGTAGTGTATTTATTTAAAATACCAAAACGGGGTGAATTTAGTATAAAGTATGAGTGCCTCACATAACCTCGCCCCCTCTTGACTGTTTTTCTAAAATGACAACTTTTCATTTTGTAATATCTTTTTGTACTCCGTTTTATTCATCACAAAAATGAAGACTATTTGTGCAGGGTGGGTTTTTTTTCTTCTCAATGTGGCCCTGTGAGAATTTCATTGTAACAATTTGAGAGGCACGTGTTTGAATGAAAGGAGATTGGTCACAGCAGAGATGTGGCAACATTTTGCTTCCCTGTTATGGGCAGAATGATTCTGTTTCTTAGAGGGGGGGGGGGGGTCTGACAAAATGGTCGACATGGCAAGAAAAACAGCAAGACTGGTTAAAATTTTGACAGGCAATAGGCATTAACAACAGTGTGAGAAAAGACAGTCATAAGAGAAAACAAGATTCACAAGAAGTGAGACTTAACAAGAGTTTACCAGTTACTTAGGAGAAGAAAAGTTTACCCAACAACAATGACGTGTGGCGCAAAGGGCGTGGAGGCCGAGGACAAAGCCGTCGGACCGTCAAAGCAATCGTGCGTGTCCACCTCAGATCTGTCAGCCACCCATGACTCTGTCAAGGTGTGAAAAAAAAGGCTCATTGATGCCCCAACGACCGTCAAGAACAAATACACTGAAGAGGAATGGAGCTCAAATAAAGTATCAAAAGCACAAACAATAGCTGCCACAAAGATGCAACCATGCTTAGCTAGAAATGCATTACTGTACCACTTGCTGTATAAATATACTGCTTTTTTGTTTTTACTTTAAACCGATGCTATAATTCGACACCTGAATATTATGCATACTCATTATGCTGAAGTGACCAGAGTGAAGTGAAGAAACACTGTAGGTTCAATTAATCCCACGCAAGAAAATCCACAAATCTATTTTTTTCTCTTTGGTGGATTAAAATGTTCTTGTTTGCTTTTTATTCCAACACCGACATGACAAAGCCCCCCCCCCCAAAAAAAAATTTCTGACAGAAGCTATATGAAATATTTCTTAAGAATTAATGCTTTAGTGTACAATTTGTGAACTAAGAATACCTCAAACACTCAACTTAGTCTTATTTTAATTACAATATTGTGTCTTTCACACTCAGTAAAAAGCAGTAAAAAGATGTTAGCTACCTGGTTACTTAGCATTAAATGATACTAATTATTTGCATTATTTTGTCTAATTTTAGGGAATAGTTCCTCACAGATATTCAAAAGCCAAATTGTCGATATGTATATTAAGGCTGCATACAGAGCCTGCAAACTCTTTTTTTTTTTTAAACTGTGAACACAATCACTATGGTGACAATCATGAGGCAGTCTCTGTTTTATTGCAATATCAAGTCACCTCAACTAACGCTTGCTGCAAATGCTCCAATAGGTTTTTTTCCTGCACAAGTTGGCGATTTTTTTTTCTCTGTGAAACCTGAAAATGCCACGAACCTAAATTTTACACATTGCACCTGTCTTTCCTCAACCTAAGAACCAATAACCAAAGAATTTATGGACAACTTGAACTGTCCCAGCCCAATGCACGTAGTGCGTTTTTATTTGATTAAACCTTTGTTTTTTTCTTTTTTTTAAATTTTAAATGATGAAGTGATTATTTTTGGGGTGTAGATTATGTACGCGCTTGTCACTAGAAGCAATGCTTTACATTTTAAAGGTTAGATTAACCAGGGGTGTCCAACTCCGGTCCTCGAGGGCCCCTATGCAGAATGTTTTAGATGTCTCTTTCCTCCAACACACTTGATTCAAGTGATCAAGCTTCGCAGAGCTTGCCAATGAGCTGATCATGTGTTGGAGGGATGTCTGCCAATTTATGACACTCTTTATGTTGGCCTTATTTAAAATGAATTACAATGATGAAAAGTTCTTTAAGTCCGTTTTACGCTTGCAGTCTCTCAGTGACAGCTCTGCTGTTTTTAAAATCAAAAGCAGTAGATGCTGTTAAATGATGTGAGTATGGTTTCGCAAGTGCTGGGTGTTTGGTTATTAGTCCTCGTTTGGGCGAGGGAATGAGACAACACGATCGGTGAGTAAATATGTATTTCGATTGCAAAACAGACAGACGTTTGTGCGGTACCGAGCAGGTAAGTTTCCACAAACCCAAAATGTCTTGCACCGTGAATGGCCATCTGCCAACACTATCCCTTTAAAGTCCCTTTGTCCATCTTGGATTTTCTTGTGTGAATCATAAGTAAGTGCCACGAGCCGGTTGCATTTTTCCTCCCCCAAAAACAGGAGCGCGGGTGAGTGACTGTGTGCACGATTGCCCGCGCTGTTCACCCAGTTATTGTAAATATCTTAACCTTTGTTGAACACACTGACCGACAGCAAACCAAGTAACAACATCAGCAACTAAATGTGACCAAAAAATGCGCTCGCGCTCTATGAATCCGCAGTGTCACAACATACTAGCCTGCATAGTATGCGGCATGAAGGAGGTGATTGTTTTTTTTTTTTAATTGTACACTACAAATGATGCTTGAACACTTTTGAAAGCGATATACAACGCACACATGGAGACATACAGACAGGTGACAGACTCACAACAAGACCGTGAAGACAAGTAAGGTTGGACTGAAAATGAAACAAAGTTGATGAGGAAAATGGTGAAAAGCAGATGCTGGTGGAAACATAAAAGAAAAGGCAAAACAAAAGGAAATTGAATGGAAAAGGCAAGGGAACATAAAGCAATTTAAATACCTGCACGAAACTAAATGAAATTGGGTATTTAAACCCTGTGCTGATATCTAGTTTTGAAAAATTTTGGCAGCATAGGTCAATAGGTCGAGTAATTGCAAAGACGGAGGGAAATGATATTGAAGAATAAGTGCGCTATATTTTCCAGCCAACTGAGAAGCAGGCGGGACCACAAATGTCTACATAACACCCCCCCCCCACCCCCACCACACACACACACACACACACACACACACACACACACACACACACACACACACACACACACACACGAACAACACTTGTGTTCGGTCTGCGTTCTTCTGGTGTTCTAATGACAAACATGGAAAAAGAAAATAGGGGGGAAAAGAAATAAAAATAATAATAAAAAAAATCTAAACATAATAAAAGACTGTTTGGCAAATGAACAGATTTAAAGAAAACTAATAAAATAAAAGCAGCTTTTGTAAAAATGTTAGAGGATGCTATTAAAGTGGCTGTTGCACTTTAGTTTTGTTCTGCAGACATGGTGCTGAGTTCCCATGGTTACCAGGAGTCTGGGTCAGATTTGAGCAGTTGCATATGATGGCGGACTCCAGATCTAGAGAAAGAAGAAGAAGAAGAAAAAAAAAAAAAGCTCAGAGGTACGGGTTGGTGTGGCATGTAATATTGCCGCATTAAGTCTCGGAGGAATGAATGTGGTTCGAGGAAAATGTGATGAAGCTTAGTTGTCAAGGAGACAAAAGGGGATCCACAAAAGGAATGTGTGCACATGGAAAGGGAATGAGGACAGTGGCCAAAGAAGAGAGCGTGGGTGAACACTTACATAAACTGGTGGGCTCTACCAGTGAGGTGGAACGTAGCTGTACCCAGGTGTGCCCTGGGGCCTGTAAGTGGGCACAGTAACGGGGTGCGCGCCAATAGGGGCATGCTGGGGTGTTGTCAGCAGTGTCCCTTGAGAAAGGTAAAAAAAAAAAAAAGCAGATGTTAGGAATGTCAAAATGGCTCTTGAACTTTGCCAGTATTGTTCATGAAGGTGTAATGAACAGGGTTGCCACAAAATCACCAACAGCAGTCGCGATCAGTCGACGAATCGGATCATTTATAAATCGCGGCATATCGCACCGGCAAGCGACTGCTCATGTAACCATCATTAGCTTGCAGCTTCGAATTCTTTAAGGTACATACAAATGAATAATAAAGACAAATGAGATGACCTGTTTATATATCAAGGAACAACTTAAATTGAAGGAGATACTGTGGACTTAAAATGGAACCAAAATATGAAATATGCAGCGTTGCACTAAGACAGCGAAACTATCTATAAATGCAAAAAGAAATCCTGGTAAACATATTTCGTATTCATTTTGTATTTAACCTGTATCTAAAACGTTTTGTTTTTCTTCACTACTATGCATAATTTAAAAGTAGCAAATTGATCTATACAATCAAAATGTGGTATGCATTTGGAACAACATTAAAAAAAATCCTTAAATATTAAGGGAAAGGTTTTTTTTTTTCTTTTTCGAGCATCACAGTCGTGTTGCATGTTTGCATCATATTGAATATATTTGGTGAAATGCACCGTAACTTTTGGACTCTGTTGCTATCACAAGTTAGCCCCGACCCTACATTACCCACAACGTGACTGTCTCGGTCACGATTATCACTGCCGCGCATATGCGTCGCATACAGGCCCACAGGCAGCGAGAGAAGCACGAGACCAGGCAGTTTCGAGAGAACAACAATGCACTAAATAAATAAACATTTAAATAAATGACGCTCCGATTAATAAATTAATTGCAGACGGCGTTGATCATCGACGTGGTTAGACGACTAATCTTGGCAGCCGGAGTAATGATTGTGTTGGTTCGACCGTTGCAACAGATGAATGCATCTTTTAACAAACAACAAATCTGCGGTCAACTGATGCCCCATAATGGCTACAGCAAAGATACAATTCTTATCCTACTACAGTGTACCAGATTGAATGAAGTAATAAAAAAATAAAAAAATCAGCAACAATAACAACAGCACACCGTACCCTCAAATTGCTGATGCTAGCCTGCCCCATCAAGTACTGTAATAGCAGTTACAACCTTGAGAATACATACTGCATCACTGTCGCGCAAAGCCCTCCTCTTATCACTGCTTCCAAATAAGGTGAAAATGACATGGTGATTGTGAACTACAGCGGCACAATAACGTTGTCAATCATCCAGCATTTGAGCCTAATACTTTTCACTTGCTAATCAAAGCTCTTGACCACTGGCATTAATCAGCCAGTGCCTTTCACCTAAAGATACCTCTAAATTTGTTGCAAATGATTTGCTCATGTCAAAGCAATGGAGGGAAGAAAAAAAAAAAGATATCCAGCATGTAGTAAACATGTACATGTGTCTCAAGCTTGAGCCCACCTGCACTCATGGCCATGGTTGTCCCGGCGACCATCCCCATGGCAGCCATGCCATTGTTTCGAGGAGTGGGTACAGGGACGGGGGCTGGGTAGAGGGCTGTGGATGGGATGCTGTTTGGTTGCACCACAGTGGTGTGATGGATCACATGTGGCTGAGCTGCATACACCGGTTGGGTATAATATGCGCCCTGGGGAGGAATATGCAAGAAATTAGACTTTAGTCAGTATGGCACAAACAGTGACACTAGAAGGACATATTACACTTTCCCAGTACTCAGGGTAACCACATCAATATGGGAATTTTATCCCGATAGCTAAATATCTGAATATGTTTTATCATTCACAGAACAAATATTTTGGATCAAGTATTTGATGTGTTCCTCTAATGTACCCTTACCTGTGTGTACAGGTTCTGCTGTGGGTAGGCACTGCGGATGGGATACATAGCTGTAGGGTATGGTGTCGGGGTTGGGGTATAGGGAGGAGGTGCTCCATTTGACTGAGTCGGTGGCACTTTGTATGGGGTGCCTGCTGCAGTGTATCCTGGAAAAGGAAAAAAAAAAAAAAGACTGTGTGTGATTAAAATCAGACGATAACATCAACATAAATACAATTTTGGTTTGCATGCTCATAAAAAAAGCGCTGACAAACTTGTCCCTTTTATTGTTAAAAGAATGAATTTCCCTACAATTAAAAACATCATGTCTAATGAGCACTATAAGTACCGCTAATTCTGTTTGTGAAATATCGTATGCAGGTGGACTATACAAGTGCCTTATGAAAAATGTGTATGCATCTTACACCCATCTTACAGTGCTCTAGGCGACTCGTAAATGGTGGCACTTTGCTCCTAAAATTTGAGAGAGCAATTAAGTGTTTTATCAACTCGCGCATGTGCGAACAGAAAATTTACTGAATCATTATTTTTTTTTTTTTGTGACCGACAAACAGCTGCTTCAGACTTCAGCCCATTTATCAGTCATAAAGTGAAAATGACTGAAAATTTGAATTTTTTTTTTTTTTTTTGGCATGGAGATTTACAGTGTACATCCCTAAAATTTCAGGTTAAGGGTTATTGTGGTCCTTGTTTAAAAAAATGAATAAATAAATAAAAATTAAAAAAAAAACACCCAAAAAAATTGTCTGACTCGCTGTCCTAGTAAAAGGCTAGGAGACAACCTTTACAGTTTGACAATAATAATTCTGGACAAAAAGAAATGAGGTGTATTTTTTAAAGAAACCTCCAGATGGTGCGCTGGTGCTCTGTTGCTGCTGGTGGATCAAACATATCACTAATGACATATTTAAGAATACGTTTGAAGATGCCACTAAAGTCGTCCATACAGCACTGAATCACTGTGGCAAGTCATTGGGCACAAGTAATATTTGACTACTGACAGGCGCCACGTGACTGTCTGGAAAATGAGATTTCATTCGTTTGTTGTTCATTGTAGTACCTCTGAATGGCCAAGCGGAGGAGTCTGAAGGTCAAACATGCTAGGGAGTGCTGCACGGCTTATAAAGGCAAGCTCCCCTTGCACAAGGACAAGGGAACAAAGAGATGCTACTCGCTCCCTCCGTGTGAGCGGGTGTGTGTGTGTGTGTTAGTGTATTTGTAAAAAAGAGGGCATATATTTGCGTGTACGTACTAATACACTGTTATGCATGCATGGCATGGGTGATGAAATATATTTATATTTTAAATTTTTTTTAATGACGTGACATATAGTAGATATTGACGACCACGATCAGAGGAGCACATTTATTTATTTATTTATTTTAGCACAACGAGGCCCAGTTCCAGCCTTGACGACAGCCTGATTGTTGACGCTGTTGGGGGCTGCAGTAGCTATCAGCAAGTACGATGCACTCAAGGGGATTCCTTTGGAGACTCTTTGAAATGTTCTGCTCCAATTCTGACTATGGCCGACGTTTTACGGACGGCCGCACGAGGGAACTTCTCCTTGCCGTGGAGTAGCCAGTCATTCCTGTCGGTGAGCATCCCGCTGGGTGTGGTGCCAGCACGCCGGGGGATAGCCACGGATGCCAGCTTCACAGCGTAGGGGACTGTCTGGCGACATGGTTTGCATGAGAATTGTGGCTGTCTTCCAGGTGGCACAGGGTCTTACAGAAACCCTGGGTCACGAATGAGGTTTGTTGGTGTCCATTCAACCCGTGTGTGTATGCAAAGGGACTTGCGGTTTTGCCTCACACGAGGTATGTTCAAGGACCAGCAACAAAATAGGATATTTCAAACTGGGATGGAAAAAAGACATCACTGATCATGGCCATCACTTTACATTTTTATCTATTTTAGGTGTTGTATTTTAGGAGTCATAGTAATGACCATTTTTCGATTGAATTATGCTGAAGGTGAATCGTTTGGTGATTTGGTTGCACCCCTAGAGACTGCAGCGCTCTATGCATTTGCCTATATGACCTAATTAGAGAGACACTTCTAATGACGATCCAGGGAGTAATTTTAAAGAAACAAATGTAAAACGTGTTTATCTGTGATTCCTATAATACTAAATGCTGTTTAGTGGTTTTTGATAGTCAGAATAGTTCATGGCTGAACCTTAAAGTGTTTCGGCATATGATCTCAGCCATCTTTGTGGAGCTTGTGGGAAAATGTTTCACAGAAAAAAATCAGTCACTTGTATATGTATTAGACAGACTGGACTCACCAGGTGGATACCCGGGGCTTCCCGTTTGATATAGATTTGGCGTATATGTGGGTGCCGTCGTGGGATACCCCCCTGGATAGCCTGATGGACATCAGAGAGAGACAGAAATTAAAAAGAGGAAAGAAGCAGGGAAATGGCACACAAACATCCATGGGAAAAGTGTTTGGATTGGAGAGAGACGCGCACAGATGGTGCTCATTAAAATAATGTCTGAATTTGAAATACTGTCAGCTAGACACAGCCAATACGCACCAACCTAGTAAATGAGACAAACAACACTAAAGACGTAGGAGGAGACAATTCAGACACATCCAAATTGTCTCAAATATCTTATGTATTTTTTTTTTAAATAAAGGTATCCGGAGATGATACCTTTTAAATAATTTCTACCTTAAACTGTTCAATTGTATAGCATGAACATTACCTCACCTAAACATTCAGTACTTAGTTGGGACAAAAAGCTGTACGAATGTACTATTGCATCAGGCGTACAACCTGTGTAATTTGGTGGTATATAAAGATGACTTGTATGTCATTGTCCTACCTGCGAAGGCCATGTTCTTGGGGTTCCCATAGGGGGTTCCAGGTTGAACAGGGCTGTAGACTGGATTCATAGCTGAAGACAACCTGTTTTTGCTTAAACAAGGTGAAACGGAGAAAATTGTGACACAAGGAAAGATGAGGTGAAAGTAAAGAGAGGACAAAGGAGATGGGAAAGGGACATGAAAATTACAAATACATTTACAAGATTTATATCCGCAAACAAATCCCAAGCAAAGATTCTTATTCTAGTCAAACATCCAGCCAAAGGATTTTGCCAGTATTCGGTCATCAAAATCGCCCATATATTATCACACATCAAGTAAGCTCAACAAAAGCATCCATTCAACGCAAAGAAATGCTGAATTCTAAAGAGAAAGTATGAGGCCCGCTGGATATATTAATGGCTCAGTCTCCTGTGTGGCGGCGAAGATAGACGAGCGCTTCCACGTACTTACCTTCCATAAAGACAACATCGGCATGGGCAAGTGTGTGTTAGTAGTGTGTGCGAGCGTGTAGATGTGTGCCGCGTACCTCTTGTGCGTGTCTGGTTGATACATGAAACTGAATTTGTCTGTGGGATGCCCGCTCGCCATTTCTTGCTGTATGCAAATGAGGAAGGAGTGGAAGTGGATATGCAAATCTGAAATTAAAACAGTGAGAGTTCATGATTACAACGAACACAAGAGAAGGGGAAACTAAAATGCAAGGCAAAGAAAAAAAAAAGAAAGGAAACAAAAAAGCAAGCATCAGTGCAAACAAGTAGTGATAGCAGCAGGGGAAGCGGTCGTGTATGTAGCGTGCCTGAGTGAGTGAGTGAAAGTGCGGTGGTCACTGCTGTGTCTTTTACAGCACTAAAATGGAATTAATCAACTATGCTAAAACTGAAAAAAGTTTCCCCAACCCCTTGTTAAGTAAGTCCCCACTAAATCATCATTGATTTATATTGAGTAAATTGTTGCCCCGTGTAGATAGTTAACAAAATCATGGGCCGAAAAAATTGACGGACAATGGACCATTGACTGTTGTTACCTCGAAAATTGTGAATTTTGAATCGTAGGGGTGACGTTTAACAGTTTCATTACTTTGAACAAAATATATAATGAAGTCAAGGCAATTGTTTTTCTGATGTAGTAAACAAAGACCAAAGTGTAATGATCAAGGATATATTAGCCTAATCCAATAAAATGAATTTATTTTGGTCTTGCAAAGTGGAGTTATCTGAAGAAAGATGCCACAATGGCAGATTTTGAAACCCGCTGTCCTCTCTGTTGTGTGCATTTGCTTGCGTGTGTGTGTGTGTCTGTGTGCCGTTAAGAACATTCAATAAAAGCAGTGAATTCACAATCCAAACAATGAAAAAGCACAAGATGTGAGCAGACAACTCAAGAAAATTAACAGCGCGCAAAATCTTAAACAGCATCATGACTATGCTCTATACACAAATGAAAAAAAAACAAAGCCATGAGTGCCCGGTGTGCTGTCTATAGGAATTCAGTTTGTAATATAGTACCCTATAGTGTGTATGCACTTGTGTATTTATTATCTAGAATAGAATTCTATGATAGGGAAAATGCATGCTAATCAATGTAGGGTTCCTTCCTTGACAGCTAGACAAATCATTTTTATTATTCCAGCATTGTTGTGATGGCCTAATTACACAAAAACAAAAGCAAGACACCGGTCATAAACAGATGAACTTATGAAGCAAAAACACCTTTCAAAATATGGCATTCATGTGGTCCGCACCAGTGTCCCCTCTAAGCTGCGTGCGTGAACAATTGCACAATAGTACTGTATATCATGCTATATCTCAGTTCAAACACCAAAGGAATATGATAATGGACGTTAGTAAGGGAGTGGTCGTTAAAAGTAGTAGGTTTCAATACAACACTGAAGCACCATCATGTCAAAGTCAAACAGAAGGCAGCATTAGCACAAAGTAACAGTAGCTAACAGTGTTACCAGCATTAACTTTTAATAACGTTTGTCTATGTTGTCTCTGTGGGAGTGACACACAGCTGTTCATTTCAGATACAAAAGATGGGGATTTTGATGGATTTGTGGATGAGGATTAAAAAAAATATATATATATATATATATATAAAAAATGTTCGTACAGAAAATACGGTAAGTGTTGATGAATGTACAGCAAGCATACGGTTGTCGCCAACCAATACTCATGAGCGGATTGCAAGAAACGCTGCATGAGATTCAGCCTATTGGTTGACAGTCAAACAAAAGCCAGGCTTGCTATGAGCACAAAACTATGTAGAGTGGGATGAGGGATAACTCATTTCAGTGAGACGGCTGTTGAAATGACTCACTTAAGGTTTCTTTCGAGTTTTGCTATGATCAACGTTAAACAATTATGAAGATGAATAATCCGGGTGATTTGCATCACTTAAACTCAATTAGTGGGACTTCAATTGGGCTGAACTCATAAAATGTGGCCTCGAGGCATGAGTCAAACACAGCTTTATGCTGTCACAGCAGGGTTTTTTTTGTCGCTGTGTGTTTGTCAGTGTGCCTCACATATAAGCCCAGAGAGGTTTTCCAAAGTAAGCCTGCATATTTTATTCCCATATTAAACTGGTTGTGTGTCTGAAAACAATAATGAGGTTTGGACCCCATAAAAGGGAGCTCCTTATAGCCCAGAGGCACTAGAGACAAGAGGGGTTAATAATGACGAGAGCAAAGGTGGGAGAGTGAAATATTGTGAAAAGAATGAAAGGAAGAAATTGTGAAAGAAAAAACATCAAACACACATAGGGAGCAGCAACCATTTCTGGTGACCGTGTATGATATAACGCAACCCCCATGCTAATTCTATCCTCCCACATAATACCTCACTAGGCATCTATTCTTACAGCAACAAATCAGAAGCCGTGGGCGTTATCACACTAGAGAGAATAGAACACACCAGTTTCAAAAACCCAAAACAAAGAAACATCCTCTAGACTGCATGAGAAGTCGAGCTTGGCGATATGGAAACAATCTTTTCCCACGATGTAGGCAATTATGTATCACGACGATATACCATGATATAGATATATTCTGTCATTCTATAATTAAAAATTATACAGCATACCATGACTGCTCACCTTTTCTCACTCTATTTTGAAATGGCGTTCAACAAATCTGTATCAAATAAGAAATACATCCAGTAGTGCTGCTATATAAAATGATCAATTATAAGCATAATATGCACAGTAGCCAACACATTTTATCACATATGTGGATGTCAATCTAAATAAGAGGCCTAAAAAAATAACACATTTTCAGGCAGAAATTTATTAAAAATAAAGATGAGATCTACGGTAATTTGGAGAACATTTATTATGCAAATCTGAAAAATCAAAATTAAAACTGTACTGTATTGTGAAAACAAATCACATTAGTGATATACAGGTATATCTTCAATATACTATATCAAGACTTCTGGGAAAAGTTTTGTCAATCAAACAAGCACTTATTCACGGTGTTTAGCAGATAACTTGAGCCAGTTAGCTTGGTAATGAACATGGCTTCGCTGTCTTTTTCCCTCTGCTAATTAATCCTTAAAACTGCCATAAAAAATAAAATGCAGCGGTGGCTGATCAGGCAAAATGGGTGAATTTCATTCGCTCATTTGTTCAAATGCCACTGTGTATTACTTCAGCAGACATCTGCATCACAGTACAGAGGGAAGGGGTCTCGTTTTAGCAAATATTCACTGAACTCACAGTGGACATATAAACACGACTAAATATTTATCGCAACCTTATTTCAACGAGTGATAAGTTACATTTGATGTGTGCTTCATCTTTTCTCTCACTTAGTAACATATTGGTGAAAGGTGGGTGGAGAAGAGTGTTTATTTTGGAGAGCTGGCAGGCGTTCTGTTCTGTCAGAGAGCTTGTTTTGCTGTGTGGTTCTTCACGATACAAAAAGTAACAAGAGCAAACGGAAATGTATTCCTTACTTAACAAGGACACTCAATAAAAGCAGCAAGTTGTTTAATGAAAAGTGTTTACAATTGGGAACTTGCGGACCACTTCGCCATTTCAAATGAAAGACACTACCAACAAAGAAAACTCGGACAAATACACTTGATTTTATTGTATTCGTGTTTACGTATGTTAACATTTTATCAGTCTATTATAACTCATTTATGTCATGACACCACTCGTTGGGATGCCATCTTCAAATTGCAGCGGCTTGGCAGGAAAAGTAGGAAAAGCCTATTCCATCAATGTAAAACACACTCACCCCCACCCAAAAAATTGACATCATGACAGCCAACAACTATGGCTGCAGGTACAGTGATCTGTGAGAAGGGGGGTGGGGGCTATTTTAGATCTAGGACACACTGGGACACATGTCCCATTCTCACTGTGCTGTCTTCCACCTACCTCACCATTCTGCTCTCCGAAAGGAGCTCATCAGTCACATATCTCTAGGGCCCGCATCCCTTCATTATGTTCATGCTTCCAAGCTCGCTGAAGTGTGAAACCCACCTACACAATCACTTGAATCTCTATTTAGGACACTGTGGTCTTTTTCCAAGAGGGGCCATGAATATTCCGAAAATTTACTAGTGTAATTGTTCCATTCTTCAAATCATCTTTTATTAGATACACCAGAGACTTCCAGGTAAGGCGTTTATTAAAGGGTATAACTTTATTTGGGCTGAAATGTATTTGAAATTAAAATGATTAAATCTAACTATAGGTAGTTCTCCCAATTTGACATGTTTAGCCACGTTTGCAATGGAATGTTCTTCCACTGCCCCACCAAAGACTTCTGGGTAAAGGGCTCCAAATGAATCAGTTAACTGAAAACTGATTTGGCTGACTAATAGGGATGTCCCACGATCACGTGATCGGAAATAGGGCCTGATCACGTTACTTTCAGCTGATTGGCTTTGGGTTAATTTGTATTTATTTATATTTGTTGTATTTTTAAGGGCTACAAAACAACAAACTAATTTGGAAGTACACAGATATTGCTAAAAGTATCTATAGATACGTTTTATACAACGCATCGTCGCAACACAGCCGGAAACAGTGCAAGTAAACATGGCCAGTGGGGGGGAACATTCTGGTTGTAACATGAAGCTAGCGTCGTGAACAATGATAACGTCTGCATGATGGAAATATTTTCATGTGGAAACTAAGCAACTTGCAATGTGTGCAAATGGAGCATTTTTCGTGGTGGAAGGGACAGAGCTGCGTTCAACACAACTGATTTAATACGCCACATGAAAAACTATGTGCCTAAAAAGGATTTGCACGTTTTACTTGGTTTAAACCACTGCTCCCTTAGCCATAGAAAAGGTGTCACGATGGAAAACTACAATTTGAATGCACTTTTTTTTTCTCCTGAAGAGATTGCCGACTCACTATCAGTAGCGCCTCAAAATCAGGTGACCACACACACACACACACACACACACACTTTTTAAGGGGGTAGAATAATCGATAGAATAATCTATTCTCAGAATATTCAATACTGACAGCCCTACTTCAGATTCACTAATGCCACACGTAGTGCGAGCAGTCATCGGCTTAGCTGTAGGTCACCATATAAGGATATACAGTAAATATACACATGACACGCTGGCATTGTGTTTCGTAGTATCAGAGCATTTTTTTAATGTCAGAGTACAAGTAAAGACGTACTGTATCAGCACTGATGTATCATATTGGTGCATTCACAGACAGAGTGGTGCCGCCTCGACCTCAGTTTTGTGACATACTGTTGTGGAAAGAGAGAGTGGCATTACTTCGTTCAAATAAATGACCAGCCAACTCAGAACAACTCTTACAATTTCAAGATATTGTGCATAGTAACACCATTAAACAATTTCGGACGTATATGGGGTGTACAAGTAAAGGAGTTCCCTGTCTTTGACGTCCTAGTGGCAGCGTTAGCCATGTCTGACTCTTTGCATAACACTTAAAGTCAAAATATCGGCCAAGTAAAATATGAATGGACTATGGCAATAATGAGTCCTCTAAACAGGTAAAGTACTGGGTACTGCGAAGACGGTTGGTCAATGCTAATACGAGCAACTGTAAGAGTGTTATTCAATATAAATCGGTATCGACCAATACAAGATATTTTGTGACCACCCAGCCCAAATACACATCAATCAAATAACATCTAATAGTAAATAATTTCCTTGTTCTGTCTGTGACTATAGGTCACTGGCATAGATAGCTGAACAAAGGTACTGTCTTTGTTATCAATAAATAATTTTCTGACCAATTAAGTGAAATGTAAAAATATCCCGCAGCACACCTAAAGCGCTCTTACGGCACACTAACGTGCCCCAGCACATGGGTTGGAAATCCTGGTTCTAATCTCAGAAGAACAACTCAGTGAGTGCTTGAACCACAAGAGAATGAAGTGGTGCTCAAACAGTCAGTTATTGGACCAGCCTCTAACGACATTAAGAGACTCCAGCTTTCTAGCCTTGACAGTTTTACAGCCCTCCATTCATACATGTGGCTTGCCCCCCTCAAAAAAGTAAATAAATAAATACAACTACATATGTCCCACCCATCTCCGTTTTAGCTCCTCCAGGATGAGATGGTCACCTTAGATTGAAGATAAAATTTAACTTGCCTCTCACACTTTGACGGATGTTTAGAACAGCTTCGCATGAGCAGACTTTGAATTTAAACAAATTGATTTGTACCGTGCTGCAGCACTATTACGACATTTCATCAACGGAGTTACTCTATGTATACAAAAATATATATTGTTTTGAATGTTTTTAACGCCTGATTTGATGCCTGGGCCTTATCCTGGAGGTCAAGTGTGAATGTGGCTTTCCTTCCCATAGCTGACATCATTCTACTAAAGAGGAAGTCAACTAAAAACAGACTGAACAGCATCATTTGTAGCTTTAAAATTATAAAATGTTTGAACCTTATTTCTGTGAAGTTACTAGTGGGGAAACAATGCTCTGACAAACCACATACTTAGACAAAAATTATAATTAGTTTCAGTTCATACACTTAGCCCAGCCGAAAACCTAAATCGATGATAAAAGGTTTGAAGTTGCAGCTCCAACCGCCCCCAAACAATCACATATCGGGAATAGTGTAATAATCCCATAATATGTCATGGATCCGAGATTGAATGAGATCCAAGTGAATTCGTTGCGTCACACGATTACAGTTTGCTACTGTTGAAAGCAGAAGAACAGAAACAAAAACAAACGGTCGACAGTATGCCTCATTATAATGGCCCACGTTTTTCTTATTACATCCCTATCGTGGGTTATGTTTTTTCCCCCTTATCTATCTCAACGCTGCACGCACTGGCAGTGCGTCACATTCCAAAGATAGCAAGCAACGCCAAAACAGCCATTGCTGGACAAAAATGGTCACACTCAAACAAGCTCAATACACCATTTTGAATATGAACTCGGAGATGCCATCTTGCCAAATTATCACCACGTTAGCCACATAGTGCACGCGTGGCTTTATCCTTTCATTCCGTGCCAGTCCATGGAGGAATCTGCACGGAGCTCACTCATAATACTGCAAATGTTAGCTTAGCTCGCGTGCTACAAACTGCAAAGTAAACCGCGGAAGCATCCCTGCATCTTTCCTTCGGCACGCGCGCTTCAGATAGCTAATTAAGTGAGTTAGCTGGAGTAAGATTAGCAGATGACTAATAAGAGGGAGGGGGCAACCGTGCAGTGGGCCACGCCGGACCGGACCAGAACAACACATTTTCACGCCGCGTCGACTAAGTTCTTTCGCTAAAAGCCGTGGCGATACTCCAACTACTTTTCCTTCCATTCCACTGGTTCAGCAAGCCTGCTTAGCCTAGCTAGCCCGCCAGTTCCTAAACAGCCAACGCGGAGGACCATTGGGGCTATACGAGGGGAAGAAAGAGCCTCAAAACAAACAACACCGACATGCCCCCCCAACCCCCAATGAGGCGACGACGACGACACTTACCAACGTCACTCGGTCGAAGAAAACGCGATTGTATTTTTCTTCCCTCCCGCGCTTGCTGGGGACTTGTGTGATCGCCTTTCTCTCGCGTGGACTTCTTGCTCGGGTCGGTGCGGGCTGGCTGAGCTCGAGCTGCGTTTGAGTGGGCCCACTGGCGCTGCTACAGACACGGCCGATGAGTGGGGGATGGGGGATGCACTGCCTGGAGAGAGGGAGGGAGGGGGCAATGAAGGAGGGAGGGATGGTGAGATGATGCAGGGATGCGGGAACGAGGCTAACCGACCGCGGTTAAAAAAATCCGAATGGTGAATAACAACTGAAAAGAGAAGAAAAAAGCACGCCATTTAATTAAAGCGCGAGTGACTGTTTACTGTTACTGTATATCCTCGCACGTATTGGGTGCTCTCGTTGGATCAAAAACTTTGAAGGTCAGTGAATATTGGCTTGATTTGACACTGCACACCGCTAAATTAGTCGGTTAGTCAGATTCAGTGGTTTCTTATCGCCAACACAACCACACGTTCGACTTCACAGTAAGACAGCGACATCAAGCGGCGACAAACTCAGTCATCCCATCCCAGTACCACAGAAAAAAAACGTCCCAGACCATATTACTTTTATTTTTTTTAATAAAAATCATGTCCTGCTCCATGTGAAAACAACTCCCACTCCCGCCCTGCTCCCATCTATCTGTATCTGTTGTTGCCAGATTTGGCTGGTGAATCACCGTTTTGCATAACATCCAGTTATCTGAACAACTTCAAACTCCACAGTGAGGAAGCCCTTTGAATTGAAGGTGAAATGTCTTCAGCAACCAAGAAGAGGCCATTTGCATCGAATCATTTGTTATGGATTGCATGACATGCGTGCGCATTTATACAACACACGGTATAGGCTACATAGACAGTGTTCATTGATTTTTTTTCATTGATTGGAATATTCTGTTGTTATGGATGCCGTCTCTTGTTAAATAATGTTTGATAATTATGAGAAGTTATTAACATGATCAGTGTCCGACTGTCCGCATGGATGAATATCATCCATTATTAATAGCATATGATGAATTATGTACTTCTATATGTGTACTTTGTAGATGTGTCTGTGCCTGACACTTTTGATGAATACATATACAGTATTTCTCAAACAATGTTTTTGTAGTTTTGTAAAACCCTATGTTAGTGCTTGGAAAATTCGAATGAATCTTATTCTGGAATGATAATTGTTAACGTGCATACGTACACAAATGTTTAAGTCTCTGAAACAGAAATGTGTACAGCATATTTTTTAATATTTGTCTCCAAATTTGTGTATGACTTCCGTTTTTGAAGTCAACCCAGTAGAACTCCAATTCCCATCAGTCATGGCGTTTACTTCCGTCCAAAACAAAAGCATTCATGTCAGCATATACTGTAACGTAAATCTTTAAAAGTCTATGGACTTCCCGTAAATATTATAAGTTTATAACATTAAAAATGACATTAGCGTATGGTATTGCGTAGCTACAAGCAAGTCACAGTATTTCCGAGTTCTCGCGGGATATCACGTTTCCGGAAAGTACAAGCGAGCTCTATCCATGGTTCTGCTACTGTAAGTACAACCTGTGTTACCTGTAATAAGGGAAACATTTGACACCAACAGGTTACTGCATATACAATAATACTACCTTCACATGGAGAGTTTTTTCTACCGATATGCGCCTGCAGTTCACTGTTTCAGTTTGGCTTGTATCGTGCTATTTATTGTACAAAAGTATTGGTTTACGCCGTAAAAAAATAGACAACATAAACATATTTATAGTTCATAAATATCATCTATGTCTTTTTTGTCGTTATCAAGATGGCTGAGCAGAAAGAGTCTTGCACCGAGATCCGAGAACGACATACGCTGCTGCAGGTTTCAAACTCACATGCACTTCAGTTGCTGGGTGTTCTTAGGTCTTTTCGGGAGCGAGGCCTTTTATTTGATTTCACCATAAAAGTCCAGGAACACAGTTTCCCCTGCCATCGCTGTGTTCTTGCAGCATGCAGCGATTTCTTCAGGTCTTGATCTCTTTCTACCTGTACATTTGTGCTGAAAATATAATGTACGATGGGGTTCTATCAGTTGTGTAACCTTTGTCTTTTTAGGGCCATGTTTGAGGCGGCTATGCGAGAATGTGATGATGGTTCAGTAACACTGTGTAACCAGTCTCTGGCTGTGGTGGACTCCTTCCTGGATTTTGCCTACTCTGGCGAGATTCTTATTACAGAAGGAAATGTAGACTCACTGTTTCAGCTTGCCTCCTTTTTGCAGGTATAAACACACGTCTCTGCAGCCACAGATCACCTATTCCAGTTTCATTCCTCTCAAATGTGCATCTACAGCTCTGAAGACAAAGTGAACAATCCAATAACTATATTCAATAACATGACATAAATTGTGTTGTTGTATCTTCAGGTGTCAGTTCTGTCCAAAGCCTGCAGTGACTTCTTGTTAGGAATGATAGATCTTGGTAACTGCCTGTCACTATTGGCCCTCGCTGAAGCGTATGGCTCAGACTCCCTCCTCCAAAGTGCCATGGACTTTGTGGTTCAAAACTTCCAAGACCTTTCCAACACCCAAGACTTCCTGGACATGCAGGTGCCAGCTGATCATAAACCCACCCTCACCCTGACCTTTCCAGTACACCAAACTTGAGCGCTAATCATCACCCAATAAAAATTGTACTCGACCTATCCAGAACCTTCCCTCAACCTTAACTCAAACCCTAATACTAACCCCTAACTCTAACCTTAACCTATTTATTTATTCAATGATTTGCAGAGAATTCATGCACAAGTAAACAATTGCCATTCTAATGGAAGCTTCTAAAAACAGTTCTAATCATTATAGGTGAATGTGTTGGAGGATTGCCTCAGGTCAGATGCCCTCTGTGTGCCCAGTGAGGAGGCTGTGGTCATGTCACTTCTAAAATGGATCCACCGAGACATTCCAGGAAGACAGAAGCTGCTACCCGCATTGTTATCTCTGACGAGGCTTCACCAGCTACCACAACATGCACTTGAGGTATTTAGTTTTTATGTTTGTTGATGTTCTACTTTCCGTTTAATGCTCTAATTATGCCTTTTTGCCTCTCGGAGACAAATACGTAGATTAAATTTATTCTCAATTTATTCAAAATTAAATATATCCTATTTTTCATCCATCCATCTCACTTGCCAGCTCCATGGCCATTTCCTGCCTGGCAGAGTTCTTGGTGTACTCAGTTATACCTGACACAAGCCAACTGGCATAAAGGCATACAAAAAATGTGAATGAAATGTAAATGTTTCCTTCCCTAAATGTATTCTTTTCTTGTCTCTAAGACTCTTCATGACTCAGATCTGCTTAGCGGCAATCATTCCTGTATGGCTCTGATCTCAGCGGCTCAAAATAGACAGAGTCAGCACTGCGGCCTATTCACCGATGCCAGGCCTGCCACCACACAAAGCTACATTTACATCCACAAGACGGAGGAGAACGGAGAGATCCGACACTCTTTCTGCTACTGCCTGGAAACAGACCAGTGGAAGGAACTTGGAATGGACCAGGCGGATGGAATGAGCACAGTGCCAGACCTGCCCGGCTCCCACCTGACTAGCTATGCCGAGAAGGTATGTGATGACTGGAATTGGAAATGCGCACTGCCACACTACAGAATTTAATTAAATCCAATAATTGGTCTGCAATACTTTGATCTGGAAAATATGTTGAGCACTGAACAACAAAGTTGTTATTTTTAGCTGCAATTTATCTTCTTTTGACAAGGTTATAAACTGCACAGATACCGCAGACATGATGCATGGTCACACTTCACAACTCACAGCAGACTAGCAAGCAGATGCATTTTGCTGGTAATTTCAAACTTGCCAGCTCCATGTTGCCTGGCAGAGTTCATGGTGTACTCAGCTAAACTTGACACAAGCCAATTGGCATAATGGCATACAAAAAAATGTGAGTGAAATGTAAATGTTTCCTTCCCTTCTTCTCTCTATTGCCCACAAGATGTTTATCACTGGAGGTTGCCGTGGAAACTGTTTCCGAGCAGTACGAATCCACGTGGCAGAGCCTTTCCATGATGCTACCGATGAGGTTTGGTGCTTCTCCCCTGTAACTAGAACCTCCACACCGGCTCCAGCGATGCCCAGACCCCGAACCATGCACACAGCAGTGGTCTGTATGGACCGAGTTTATGTCATTGGGGGGCGGACGAAGGGATCCACAGGGGCTTCTCCCAGTCTACTAGAGGTGCTTTTACATACTTTTTTTTTTTATGAGTGTGTCTAACTATGAGATCCATGTTAGAGCATTTGTTGGCAGTACAACACGTTATATGCTCAGGTGGAGTATTATAACCCATTGGCCAAGAGCTGGTTTTCAGTCAGTCCACTGCCAACTGCAATCTTCTATCCTGAGGCCAGTGCTTGTGGCAGCATTATCTACACTTTGGGATCAGAGGTGGAGATAACAGACTCCTTCAATCCCTCACTGGACTGTTTCTTTAGCTATGACGCCCAACAGGACCAGTGGTGCCGCCTGGTGGCAGAGTTTGGCCAGTTTTTCCATGCGACGCTAGTCAAGGCCGTGTCAATTAATCAAACACTGCACCTCTGTGACCTGTCCACTTACAAGGTAGGACCTACTGTGTTTGATGTAGGTTTTCCTTGATCACGCATAACACATGTATTTCATCCTGCAGGTGTTCAGTTTCTGCCCACAGACATGTGTGTGGAAGGGCGAGGGGTCATTTGAGTGTGCAGGGTTCAACGCTGGAGCAGTTGGTACAAGAGAGAAAATTTACATCTTAGGTGGAGACTATTCCCCTGATGAGATTACAGATGAAGTCCAGGTAAAATCGAGGATTGTTCATATGCAGATGGTCAAACTGGTCTCTGGTCGCGTTTTCCTAAAGATATGAAAGAGGGTTCAGGGGCCTTGTAAATATGTCTGTTTTTTTGGGGATAGAGTGTATCCATTCACTATGAATGATTGTTGTTCAACATAGGTCTACCATAGTGACAGGAGTCAATGGGAGGAAGTGACGCCCATGCCCAGAGCCCTGACTGAATTCCACTGCCAGCTCATCAGCTTTAACAGGCACACAAACCCATGGAGAGACATAGAATGATGCACACAGGTGGCAAGCAGACTCTACAATCTTGTAAAAAGCATAGTCATCAATGATGTTGGAAGCAAATTGTAACTAACTAACTAACTCTCACAAACACCACATCCACTCCCAAAGATCATCTTCCCACTTTACCATAAACAAACAACCATTCACACTCACATTCACACACAAATTAGTCTTCGGTGAACCAAAAATGCATATTTTTGGAATGTGGCAGCCATATTATCTGGAAAAAAAAACAATACAAACATGGAGAGAACATGCAAATTCCACATAGGACAGCTGGAGCCCGGATTTGAACCCCTAACCACGGAGGTGCAAAGCCAATGTGCTAATCACTCATCAACCAGGCTGTCATAGGAGACCTCATTGTATATAAATAAATCTGACCCAAATGTAAAATGAAGAAGCTATACAATGGAATAAATCTGTGATGTTTTATCCAGTGTGCCCTGCGAGTGCTCTTGGAAAGTTTCTTCTAACTGCAAGTTTTCCTCACTTAATCAACAAAATAGCAGTAGATGGACCACCTTTTTAATATGGCATTTTATTTTTTTAAGTCTCACAGTGCCTGGAAGGAATACTTCTTTGTGCAAAAGTGCTGGAGTCAATCAAATAGATCATTTATTCTGCAAGAAGTCAGCAATAATTTACAAGTTGGATTCTTTTTGTCATCTGACACACAAATCACTGAAAAACAAAACTGAATAGCATACATATTCAGACATAACAGCATGTGTGATTGTATAAAGTGTCATCTGGTCATTGATGACATTACATTGTTTGAAAACAGGCACTGCGGTGATTTGCACAGTGTAAAAGAAGAACACCAGATGCCTGTTTGGTTTCTGGATTTTTGTTAACCTTCCCCTTTGTTCTGGAAATCCCCTTTTGGGTTTTCATACCTGAGAAAGGTATCTTACAAATTCTGAAGGCATCTTACAATCGCAGAATAGTTTATCTTTGATATGGTAACTGCATCAAAATCACAGCATTTCCAGAGATGAAAACACAACATCTGAAATCTGATCTAAAATAGTAGCAGACACCATGCAGATTCCATCAAATGTCTCCCATCTCCTTTGACAGGGGATGGGAGGAATGCTTATGCTCCACATTGTTAGTCCTGATATGTTTTTACCAGCAGCCACATCAAGAGAACGGTGATTAAGACGATCATGAAGTTGAGGAATAGTTCCTGCGCCGAGCGATCCATGGCAGCTCCCTAAACAGGCAGGGTAGGAGACAGTGTTGAGGAGGCAGCAGCTGAAGGAGGTACACGGAGCTCGGATGGCAAAAAGGAAGATTTGGAAGTGAAGTTTTGCCGTCCAATCCCACACCTGAGAGAAGCAAAGGGACAAATTTGCATGGAAAGTATAATGCAAGGCAAGCTTTAGTTATTCCGTGCATTTCATACACACAGTAACTCAATTTACATAACAACGAGTACTCCATGTAAAAGCATGTACAAACAACAACTAACGGCATCTAAAAACAACGTACAGGAATCAAAGGTACAGTTGCTTCTTATAAGAGTGTATGCAAGAGTGCCATATCAATACACTGCAGACTATCATAAATCATGGTCGCCAACTTATCACGTTTAACAAATCCAGATAAAATGTACTTGACCTTACAAGAAAAAAAAAAAACATATTTTCAGTTTCTTCAGTCCTCAAGTGGATCATTACCTTTTCTCTCTTTGATCTCACTCAACAGGGAGTTATGTGCTCCAGTAGAGTGTTTGCTTGTCTTGATTTCCAAAAATGCTGCTTGTCAATAGTATGGAAATGTCTACCTGGCCACTTTAATTTTCTTCTCTCCGTGTCTATCTTCAGCTTTCTGCCCTCACCGGGGGCCGGGCCTACCCCTAAAGTAGTCAACCTCGGTGGCCCGCCCATGGTTCACATGCAAACAAAATGATGTCACCCGCACTTTTAAGCGAGCATCCAATCAAGTGTTTTATTCTCCACAATCTGGTCCACTAGAGTCTCCCCTACCCATAACCATAGAGAGAGTCACTCTCTCTCTGTCTGAGTTATTTATAACACGTTATTGCAGATACGAGGTGGATTACAATTGCTCCAAATACAATGCATGCATCGTCTCATGGATAGAGGAATGTGTAACAGTATCGGGGGGTGGGGGGCACAAGATGAATAATGCAGTCAGCTATTCAAAATGTAACATTGGAGGCTCGGATGCAAGTCCAAGTGAAGCTACGACTCGTCACGATGACAAAATGACCACATTTTCACTCCACAGTGTTGTTCTTATAATGTTGGAACTGCAATATGAAATGTGAACAGTGCACAAAACGGTTCAAACATACATAGTCATAAAAAATGTTTTTTGGTGTTCTTTCCACAATAATGGTAAGTGAGAGAATTTTGAAACACTAAGGACACCAAAGTAATTGAGATTTTGTGTTTTGAGTACCTCCTCGATTCTTTTTGACTTCAACTTGTCGTTATCAACATGTTTAAAACATGTTCCATTGTATTTCAGTAACTGCTGTCCATTGTCCTAATTTAGTTGTTGTAGCTTCGATATCGATAAAAGGTCATAAAACAGTTTCATTTGAACTGACATCAGAACCTGATTATGTTGTCGAATAACTCTCTAGACATCAATATTGCTGACATCAGGCCAAATTCAGAATAGGCACAGGAGACCGTTTGAGGAGAGAGTTTGTTCAATGGTAAACATGCATCGTCATTGAGAGCAAGCTATTTTCACCATTTTAGATTGGTCAATATTTTGTAAGCATGGACTGAACAATAGTATAGATTTTTGACATATGCAATGGTCAATGCATATGCAATGGTCAAACACTTGTTCTGACTGAGATATTTGAGCATTTGGGTCAATTATAGATCCAACCCCCCCCCCCCAAAAAAAAAACTGATTGGCCAGATCATTTTGAAATAAGGACGTGAGATGCATGCATGGTTGTGTGCGACCCATTACAAAACAAAGAAAGAAACAATTCCCGAACTTTAAAGTTGTTGTTTTTTTAAACGTGCATTGTGATGACAAGTGATGCTCCAATGGTTTGTTTGTTTTCCACTTCTGTATTTCTCCTCTTCTGTGCCATGGTGATCCCAAGACAGAATCTGACCGTCAGCCAGCAATCCTCCGTGCTCATCTCACACTTGACAGCTGCTAAGATTGGCATTATCTCCAAACTGGTGCTAAACCCCATGACACACACACCTTCTGTGCACACGTCGGGGTCACGGTAGGACAAAGTGTGTTTGAGTAGGCCTATCTCGAACCTTTCCATCACAGGGCATTCCCGAGAGATCGCGCGGATCAAAATGGCTGCCATAAGTGTCATTCTATCGCCTACAATTCAGCCAATGCTGGACAAGTAGCTGTTTGAATCAGGGATTCCCATTGTTATGAGATCCGATGCGGCTGTGGTTGGATATAAAACGGGCTGAAGTGTGCAGACAGGATCGACCACAGAGCAACTTGACAACTGCGTATGTGTGCGTGTGTGTTAGATAAAAAAGTGCTGGCAGGGTTACCTTCTAAAGCAGAAGAGACAGAAGTGTCATCGGCACCTCAGAGACACCATTCCATATGTTCTGGGACATGCTGTATAAGTACATGTGTGACGAATACGTGCATGTACAGTATTTCATATGTTTATACGGTACACCACATACACAGCAAACGGCTTCAAGAATTAACATAACCGATCATCAAAAAAATTAATTAAAACAGAAGAGAAAGAAATGAGGAAAAAAAGCTGAACTGGCTCTTGTCAAGAAAAAAGCTGAACTTTAAAAGCATTCCAAAATTTTCATCGTACCTTTTTTTTTTTTAATTTACCATTATCTGGAATTTTGTAACATACAATTCAATACATCTTTATTTATATGGCGCTTTCAAAACAGCTCCAGCTGTAACAAAGCATTTTACAAAACAGTTCACATAAAATAACATAATAATCATACAGGCTTAACATATTTAAATATAGAAGCTGATTCTCTAAGCAGCAAAAGTATTTATTGCTGTACAAGAGGGAGTTGTTGAGTTTGCTACAGTACACACATATTAATGACTACGGAATAAATAGTTTGCTCATCTAAACATAAATTGAATGGGAAACACACATGGGAGGAAAAAAAACATCCATGATTTGATTACAAAAATACATCACTGAATGTTTGCTTTTATTTCCATATGTGCTAATTACACCTGAATGTAGACCAATAAATTTCCAGCAATGAAAAGTTTAATGAGCCTTCAGCTGGCCACCTTTGAAGGGTCTTAAATGTTTCGACAAAGGCAGCTGTGACTGGACAAGAGACAGGAATTCACCCAGCTAAAGGCCAAGCTGACAACAACCATGTACGTTTAACAAAGATTCGAAACTCCTTTGTATCATGTTATATTCCCAAATGGTTTATTTTTTTGTCTTTGCTGACTCCTGGTCTATACAATTCTACTCCTTTACTTAACATTCATGACAGTTTTGAAAAAAAAAAATCCTTTTTAAAGTGTATTTGAATTACGGATTGTTTTCAAATTTAATTTCAAGTTATTTTTACCAGCACTAAGTTTTATGACTGCAATCCTCCCTAGCCAATACTGCCTTTGAGTTCCACTGCTTCAATAACATTCATACTTTAATAAAGCACCTTAAACAAAGTTGTCATCTGATTTTGCTTTGTACAAAAATAAACCCAGCCGCTTTAGAGTGATTTCATCTCCTTTATCTTGCTGTTTCATCACCTCTTTTTTTTTTTTTTAATGATTCATCCTCCTCCAAATACAGTACAGGTTTGTCAGTTAACATCCAATCTCTTTGGACTAGTAAAGAACCACTATTTTAAAAACGCAGATCTGGTTTCTCCATATACTCATACTCATATCCATCCTGCAGTCCCCAGCTAATTAGAATACAAAGATGCCTTCGGCAAGGGTTTGGTGACTGACTCCCAGCCTTGCATTTCAAAGAGTGATTGCATGCCTGAGCGTAGACAAACCGTCCCACTGAAGTTCTCACTGTTTCCCTCCTCAGTTGCTGTGTTGAAGGTCAAAGAATCGTTTGATACTCAACTTTAAAGCAAATATGAGCAAAGGGACCCTAACATAACATTTCAAAAAGTTTCTGAACACATTTAGACAACAGAACATACAGTGCAATCACCAAAATGAATACAATGTGGAATTCAACACAAATATCTGGGAAAATATGCTTTGAAGGCTCATAAAAAAACGATGTCAACAAATCTTTTGAGACACGGTGTTATCACATTTGAGGAAGACTGCTATTCAAGTCGAGGTACTTTTCTACCTGCTGCAGTCACTTAACAATATGTTGACAATGATAGAAGAATAAGAATAGAATGTCCAACATAGAGTGAGCTCGGTGTATCAAATGCAACTTTCATTCTCCATCCTGCTCCACAATCAGCATAATTGGCAGATGTCATTAAATTGTGAATGTTTTTTGGTTATGATGATGATGATGATGATTGTCTCCCAGTTAATAGGGATTACCGGGTAACTTATTTAACACTTACATTACAGTTTAAAATGTTAGAATGATACATTATATGTAAGGGTTTTACAGCATCACAGAACAGACTGTATAGTCGACTTTGAAAGTTTGACTTTGGTTTGACCCTGCTGCCCAGTGGCCTTACTGCATATTGTTGTTCGTATTTTTGATGTAGAAACAGATCATTCTCTGTTCATAAAAACGAGATGGTTTCAAGGGCTTTAAAAATAGATGCAGCTGAGTGTCGTTATCATGTAGGGAGGCTCAGTCATGCGCTTCCCCTTCTGACCAGCTGTTGTTTTGTAGACTAAACTGACGGCACAGGGCTCCCATTGGCAAACCCAGCCTGGTGCTGCAATTACAGTACTTAGATGACTAAAGACAGGTGATTCCTACATCACACACACACACACACACACACACACACACACACACACACACACACACACACACACACACACACACACACACACACCCACACACACCACACACACACACGCACACGCACACGCACACGCACACTTCTAAAGCATGTTATTGGCGCAAGGACTCACATCCGCAATGGTTTGTGTAAACCAGAAAACACAAAGAGTTACAGAAACAGATTCATAACTGGAGACAAGCTATGCTGGAATTCAGACCCACCACAGGCATGCACCCATTTATCACCGAAACAATTCAAGGGCCTGCTAAACTGTTAATGGCTTCTTTGGCAAAGGCTCCAGGCCAGGAGTGTCACCCTATAGAGTTACATTTTATCCAACAGTATCAAGTTAGCGATGACGAGGGAATGATCCCTGGAGCATTTTTGCCAATCTTTTGAAGGAAGATTAAGGAGGCATTAAGTATGGCATTGCCATCATTGTTGGGGCCGTATTTAACATCGCCACAAGTGAAAGCAGGTTTGCACACATTGTGTACCTCTACTTTGTTTTGTTAACAGTACGGTTAAAGCCTCTGTGTACACTGATCGACCACTTGCACAACGGATTTAGAACTGCACTGCAGCTTCTGGATTCACAAAGATAATAATGCTGAGCTTCGAATGATCCATCTATCCATTTTCTTTCAAACTCATTCTCATTGGGGTTCCAGGTGCACTGGACCTGATATGCCAACTGATTTTGGGCAAAAGGCGGGGTAGACCCGATGGAAATTTACTCTTCAATGAACCTAAGATGCATGTTTTTGGAAAGTAAGTGGAAACATGCACAGAAATCCCATGAAAGCACAGTGAGAACATGCAAATTCCACACAGCAAGGCCAGAGCCTGCATTCAAATCCCCAACCTTTGAACTGTGAGGCGTATGTGCCAAACAACCACTCATTATAAATGAATGAACCAGACTCATATTCATTTAAGATGTTGCCACGAGATTATTAAAAAGGTGCCATGAGATTATATTTACACAGATGGAATAAATCCTTCATGTGAGGGTAAGCGGTTCAGATAACGGATGGCTGTAGAGACAGAGTACACCCTGGACTTTTTGCCAGGTAATTGCAAGTCACATATAGTGTCGGCCAGGGGTCACCGACCTGTTAACTGAGAGCTACTTCTTGGGTACTGATTAATGTGAAGGGCGACCAGTTTGATCAACACTTCTGAAATAACACAGTTGCTCAAGTTACTTTTCCGTAATGTTGCTATTACGTGTCATCCTTGATAAAAATAAAGACAAAAATCATGATTCATGAATACTTTTCACTATAATTAGGAAGTAGGTCAGTATTAACATGTAGCACTTGAAATAAATAAATCAACATCAGCCAGTTGTTCATATTCTCAAATGACCACAATCTTCATAAAAAAATCACTGTCCCATCGCCGGTGAGCCCTTTTTAGAACGTGTGGTCCAAGGGCACCACTTTGGTGACCCCTGCTGTAGACAAACTGCATTCTATTTCACACTCACGTTGACGCCAATCGAAAAGAGTCCTCAGAGACTCTAACAGGCATTTTTTGGGGGGGATGTTGGAGGAAGTTCGGCGTTTTGATTCAAACACGAACCTGGTGTGAAGCAGATATGTTAATATAATAATAAACATGCGTGAAAACCTGTAACCATTGCAAATAGCACAGCCACCGTTTGTATGCATAAGATGCATATATGCAACTTATATTTATACTGTGTACAGTTCTTTTTCTGAAACATTTATTTATTTTGTGCATGCAACACATTTTTTTTTCTTCTCTACCCCCCCCAATTATGCTGCTGTAGACTGCAAGTTTCCCTAGTGTGGACAAATAAATGTTATCTTATCTTATCTTATCTTATCTTAATTCACCAGTCTGCCCATTATACTGTACAGATTTAAATGTACATTATTATTATTATTATTATTATTATTATTATTATTATTATTATTATTTGTAGTAGCAGTAGTACAGTATGACGTTTTTCTGGTTCAAATTCTGTAATCCGAACTCACGCCAGGAACCTCCAGTTCCTCTTCGATGTTTCTCCCGGACAAATCTAAATAGACGCTCAATGGAGGTAAATGTAGAAAAAAGTGTGAAGGTTTGCCGAATGGGTAAACTTGACAAGAAACTTCTCCGTAAACAGATTAAATCCAGTCACACTTTGCTGAAACACGAAGGAATCAGTACTAGGTCGGAACCCACTAAGGTAACTCGTAAAATTATTGTTATTCTTGTTATTGTTATTATTAATCACAAGAAGTGGAAGCTATCGTACGGAGACTACATGTACTCTGGACAATTCGTTTTTGGGGGGGTCGCATCAAACATGCAAATAGATTTTGCCGCGAATGGAAAAAAAAAACAGTGTTTAATTTGTTACGTACGTATTAGTGTTTATGTGTATATATGTTTGTATGCTGTATAGATTTATGTCTTATGTGCTGTATATTTTGCCAACGAGAAAAAAAAATCCAGTTTGTTTCTACGATTATTTGGTCATGGTTTTTAATCATGATTTTAAAAATCTGTAACACGAAGCACCTCAGAGAAGCTAAGAAATGGAATACAGCGTCATCTATGTTGTCTTCTGGCTGTGTGGGAAATATTAGGATGACTTCTGTACAGTATGATGTTATTGTTTCAAACATTGCAATAAAAATGTATCCGTGTGTGTGCTCTGCAGAGTTTGGTGGTAGCTAATGGTGGCCTAGGGAATGGTGTCACGAGGGAGGAGCTGTCTGCTCTGCTCAAAGAGATGGGAGAGGTGGAAAGCCTCGTCATGCCCCCTCACAAGCCCTATGCTTTTGTCACATATGGGTAAGATTGATTATAGACCCAAAGTTTGAACCTATTTGCCATCTTATATGCTTGCTCTTCATGCAGATCTGAGGAGAATGCCCGGAAAGCTCACATCCACATGAATGGTCAAACACTTAGGTGTGGAGCAGAGAATAGTGTGACTCTCTACCTCAGCTTTGTTGGCTCAGGTACTGCAGTATTTTTGCCATCTGACTAGGCTTTAGGATGTGAGGGTTGAGATGATTTGAATTGTACTGTGCACAAAATTCAGGTAAATTGGCAATGATTGTTGGAAACATTCTTGTCTGCTTCAGTGTTACTGCCGTCTTTGTCTGTCATTCCAATTGACGTTTATGTGTATGTTTTACAGTGCCATGTGAGCAGCAGGCTTGTGTGACTTTGCCAGTTGGACTAGTGTTGGTAGAGGATTTTGTTTCTCCAGAGGAAGAAGCTTTACTGCTTGCTGCCATTGACTGGTCATCCACTAGTGATGCTGTAACTGGTAAGGAGGGGCCATGTGGTGTGTAAAAGTGACTGAAGCTTACATATTCAGAAGGTTGAGTTTGTGAGCTTTGACATCAACCTCAATGTTAATCCAAAGCGAAGCCTTCAAAGTGTCAACACAGTATATTCCTTGGTGCTTGTTGACTTTCATCTTGCTTTCATTTCAAAAACAAGGATTCACTTCTGAAATAATTTCTGGAGAATCCAATTTGTTCCAGAACCAAACCTTTATGAACTGGACAGGCAATGTTTGAAGTCACTTTGGGCGAGAGGCAGGGTACACCCCGAACTGGAATATTTTCCATCTCGTGCTGTTTTATAGTTATTACGATTATTCAGTTCTGAAGTGTAATAGGTGTGTTAATATAAACATGGTACCTAATAAATTAATTCATGTATGTATGGTTATAGTCACATTTTTACTTTTTGATGCAGGGTGATGGTTTAAATTTTGTTCATGGGGAAACAAAGTATCTTGTAATTTAACTTCATTTATTATGACATACTGTACGTATATGTTTTTTACTGATTTGCCAACTCAAATCTAACGTTGTATTGCTGTAGCACAAAGAGCTCTGAAGCACAGAAGAGTCAAACATTTCGGCTTTGAATTTCGCTATGACAATAACAATGTGGACAAAGACAAGCCATTACCTGGAGGTAAGATAAGTTGTATTTAACTATAAGTGTAATTTGAATTTGTGACTATGTTCACACCCTTCACCTCTATAATTAATGGGAAAATGAATGTTGAATATGTGTGTGTGTGTCTAGGTCTTCCCGAAGAGTGTCAGCCTGTACTGGAAAGAATTATGGAGAATGGACATACAAAGTTCATGCCCGACCAGCTGACTGTGAACCAATATGAGTCTGGACAGGGTTTGTTACTGCATTTATACACATTTTACAGCATCAAAGCCACTTGTACGCTTGCTTAAAACAGTCAACGAATAGACCCATTAAGGAAAAGAAATGCCATTGTAATATGAAAAAGGCGCAGCTAGATTAGTTGAAGGTATATTAGTCACACATGTAAAGGTGTTTATCCATAATAGGCGATCTGTAGGGGTTCTTTTGTGTCCTGTCTTCGTTTTTAATTTATTCTTATATTGTTTTTTTGTTGTATTAATGATTTTTGCTCAATATACAGCATTTGGTATACAGCGGTGGTTGTTTTAAATTGCTCTTTAATTTACATAGTTGAGTTGAGGTTAAATGTTTTATTCTTACCACAAGGTGGCAATACAGCCTTTGCAGGAAGTTTGTTTTCTCTTCGTTCTTTCTAGAAAGTTAGACTCTGTGCAAACATGGGATATTAAAAAAAAAGGATTGAGCTCACAAGCAAACTTTGGTTTTAAATATGTACATGAAGTAGCATTGAAAAACATGGTGATTTGTCACATTTGTAGGTATCCCTCGTCACGTGGATACTCACTCTGCCTTTGAGGACACCATCCTTTCACTAAGCCTGGGGGCGAAGGTATTCAGTTACTTTTACTAACCTCAACCCTCTCTCATCAATGAAGTTACCACATTTTTGCAAAGACGTACAATGCAGTTCAGTCTTACGCAGCACATTGAAGGAGACAGTATGCAAAATTCATTTTTTAATTGCTTGTTTACAGATACTTTAGAGTGCCTGCCCACATTCAATATTTAGTGTTCACCCAACAGTGTTTGTTAGTTTTTTTATCTGCTCATTTATGAACATTTCTCTGAGTAAGCTCTTATGGGTTTCTCTGAATTGTAATGTCACAATTCAGCTAATTTATATAATAACTGCCTCCACATCGAGATTCATTGCCCTTAGGGCGGCAGGGCTGGACAAAGATCTGCCGTGATTAAGTGAAGAAAGTTTCTGTCCGCCGACGACACTGTCTGAAAAACAATGCCAAAACTAAAATTTAAGCAGGGCTGCATCGAGTTTAGCTGAGTACACAGATTTGTGTAAGACGACGGTGTTAGTTGGTGACAAGCAGCATATATCTGATTGCTTGTTGAAGTTGTCGATCCGTTGCGGGTGGATTGGGATTTATGTTAACGGGCTAGCCAATCAACCACTGTGTGTTTGGTGATGTGTCCACTGTAAGTGCCACACAGAGCTACACACCGACAAGTGTATGAAGTATAGTGTAATGCTGTCTCCATGATTGGAAAGTTTATATTTACACTCGCTTTATTCCTTAACCGTCCCTTTGCCTGATCCTTGGTAAGAATGTCATTTAGACTTGAAGGATTGTGCCAGGGTGCCAAGAGATAGGAAGATGCCAAGAGAAGAGGTCACAGTAACGGCCTAGCTCAAGTCATCCATCTAATTATTTGTGCCAAAGAGGCCTAATCTTACAGACACTTGAAAATTGTTTCATCTACCGGTAATTTTCAATCTTATTGTAAATGTGCTAGTGTGCACGTGTGTGTATATGCTTGTGTGTGAGTGACTTTGTAGGAGAGTGTCTTCAGCTGTTGTTCCATGGAGCAGTCTGATTCATTTGCTGGTGTTCCATTAACACATCTCCTCGTGCACCCATACACACTGGTGCTGTCTTCACAAAAAAACAATTTACCTGCTGTCAGATGTTGTGCAGGATGCAGTTGGAAATGGTGTCGGTGTAATTTCCCTCAAGAGTTCACGCTGTTCAGCTCTGGAAAGGAAAGGAAACATTAGGATTCAACACTGACTCTCATGTTGATGCTTCTTTTGCATGTTCGTGGAAGTGAGCACTGCTGTGCCTCTCCTTTCTTTTGTCAGTGATAATTTGGGGGAAGGAATTGGTATCATATCAGTCCATGGTGTTGCAGCCTTAAAATCAATGTAATGAGAACCCGATCAACAGGATGTTACTTAGTCCCATTGAGGTGACTGAACAAAATGCTTCGGCTCATTTTCTTTTGTTTACAGACATGCAGTAACAACATCCCGAGCTGTCTTATTGTTATCGGTGGTGATCTTTTATGGTGTCTGTGTCTCCCCTGACAGACTTTGATGGAGTTTCGCCATCCCGACGGCCGTGTAGTAAGTGTTGCTTTGCCAGCACGAAGCCTCTTGGTGATGCAAGGAGAGAGCCGTTACCTCTGGACACACGGGTGAGTTCACTGCAAGGCAGCCATTTTCACTGGTAAGATTTAATTGGTCATAAACATCTTGTCGATTTCTCAGAGGGGGAATGTGCTTCTCCCATTGCCATTATGTGGAAAGAAAGAAAATACGGGATGTACACTAACCTTCATGATGTTTTTTTATAAAACAGAATCACTCCTCGTAAATTTGACATGGTGCCCGCCTGCGACTCACAATGCTCATCTTCTACAACATGTGACCTGAGTGCCAGCAACCAACTCACCTTGACCAAAAGAGGCACTCGAACGTCTTTCACTTTCCGCAAGATTAGACATGAACCTTGCTGCTGTGGTGAGCCCCATTCAAGCGCACAATGACATGATACTTTTCTAAATATATATTTAATATCCCACATCTGTTGTACAATAATTTTAGTCTCTTGGCTATTGTTCAATGTAAAGTTTTAATTTCCTGATTGTTTTGTTATCCATTACTTGAATTGCAGAAAATGTTCTGAAACAAGAAGCACTGCCACACATCCTAATGTACAGTATCAAGCATACATTTCTAGTGGATGATACAATACAAAGAGTGCAAAGTAAAATAGCAGATGAAAGACAGACGGCAAAAATGAATAAACACTGTTGGTTTCCAATTTGCTTTGCTAGAATCTGATTTTTTTTTCTTCTCTTGCCACATATTCCAGCTTTTCCCTCCGCATGTGATAGTCAAGTAGCTTCCTCTCCACCATCTCCCCCCATACTTCCTCGAGGCCACGGTGATGCAGCCCGTCTGGAGGAGAAGTACGTTCACCGGGTTTACAACACAATCGCCCCCCACTTTAGCAGCACAAGACACTCCCCTTGGCCACGTGTGTGCCACTTCCTGTCCTCGCTCTCTCCTGGAAATGTGTTGGCCGATGTTGGCTGTGGAAATGGAAAGTATTTGGGTGTCAACCCAGAGGTCATTAGTGTGAGTACATTTTATTTGTCGTACTATTATGATCTTATTCTTTGTCTTGTGCTACCATATTGTCACATTTTTGATCTCGTTAATAGTTTATGGATGCATGCACAGCCGAGGAAATGTTTTTATATGAGACAAATCCTCATTTGCATTGGCGAATTAAATCTATTGAACTTCCAGATGTTTTTAATTTTTAAGTACTGCTTGTAGTTAACCTTTGTGCTGAGTCTTTATAAGGTCCCCTATAAAGTTCTGAGATTTGGTGTTCAAATTTAGGCCTTCCTATGTGGATCTTGCATGTTCTTCCCGTGCTTGTGACAGTTTTCCAGCTTCTTTCCAAATTCTAAAAACATGCATGATTGGTTCATTGAAAAGTAAAAATCGCCCATTAGGTGGGAATGTGTGTTAGTGTGACTAGCTGTTGAAACTAGTGCTTTTAACGATAATGTAAAAAAAAATGTGACTTTCACAGTTTTTGAAACTTTTTTTTTTTTTTTAAACAGAGATCATAAGAGTATTATGTGTTTTGTCTTTCATATACCAGGTGGGCTGCGACCGGAGCAGAGCGCTCGTCCAAATCTGTGCTGAGCGAGGTTTCCAAGCACTTGTTTCCGATGCCCTCTGTGTCCCACTTCGAACAGCTACTTGTGATGCCTGTATCTCTATTGCAGTCATACACCACTTTTCCACACCAGTATGTATAGTAAAAGCACACACATTTACACTAAAAAGAAGATGCTAATAGTGATATATACACCATCTGACCAAAATGTATTGCCAAATTGTGGACAATTCTATACTTTCAAGTTTTTGGGCTAGCTTGGGGAAAGGTTTTTAGTTATAGCAAGACCATGCCGCAGTTCCACAAGTTAGGTCCAAATGCATGCTTTTTGGAGGAGGAGTTTGGTATCACACAATTTGACTGCTCTTACCCAGTATGAATGACCTGTGACTCCTTTTTTTTTCACTTGGTTTTGGTTCACTTCCTGTCGGTGTGAAGAAGTGGATCTTTGTTCAGATAGCATGCTTGCATTGTGAGGTTCTGTTTTCCATACCCTTTTTGTAAAATAAGCCCATTTAGCTGTTGCATTTAGATCTATCCAACCATTATTTAATGTAGTCCAGCCTGAACGAGTAGTCTGACTCTGATCGAGACCACTGTTTGAATACCCATATTTCATAAAGGCTAGTCATCTCATTGGAAATAAAGACTCAATTGTTCTTATGACCCAAGGGCCAGTTTTTTCTTGAATGTTAATAAAATAATGTTTGTGAATTATTTTGTCACAGGAGCGTCGCTTGGCAGCTGTGAAGGAGTTGGTGAGACTTTTGAAACCTGGGGGTCATGCTCTCATCTATGTCTGGGCTTTTGAGCAAGAGTACAAGCAGCAGAAGTCCAAGTATCTCAAAGACCACAACCCGAGAAACAACGCAGCCAAGGACAACCCTGAGCTTCACGGAAAATCCAGTGTCTTTGCCGGAAGCAACCCTGAAGATAACAAGAAAAGGCCTTCAGATAATTGCAAACTGACTGATGACAAACTTAGTGTTCATATTAATCGCACAGCCTTCAACTCTCGGGACCTTCTTGTTCCGTGGCATCTGAAAGAGGGGAAAGGAGAAAAAAGAAGGGAGGGTGACTCAGGAGAGGGTGTCTTCCACCGTTATTACCACGTGTTCCAGCAGGGAGAGCTGGAACAACTGTGTGTGCAGGTGGAGGGAGTCAAATTGCAGACTAGCTACCATGACCAGGGTAACTGGTGTGTTATTTTAGAGAAGGACTCCATAAGATGAAGCCCATTAAAGGATCAAAATTTGTGGAAAAGAATGCAGTATAGGCTAAGGTGCAATCAAAGATTATTTTAACAGTGAACAACACTCAGAGTGCAGAACTGTGCAGCAGTTAAAATGTTAACAAAAGTGGAAATAAAATTTGTGGTGTTCTATTTTGTTTTTCACTGTTTGATTATGAGGCATAACTCACCTGGATTTGTAGAACACTTTAAAAACAATCACAGCTGCATAGAAATTGCTGGACATATATATTTTTTTTATTTGTTAAATCAAAAAAAAAACAGTAAACAATCATACGCCAAAACAATACTGAATCAAAAGCCAAAGAATAATGTTTAAATTCAAATAATTGGAGTCAAATCCATCCTGAATCAAAACAATAGCCTCATCATGTCCTTATCCTTTGGAAGGACATGATGCGCTTGAGAGTGAAAACCTCAAGCCAATGCTTAACTGTTGACATCAGTAACATTTATTGATATTTTGTCCTATGCTGAAGCATTCTGTCAGAATTTTGCAACTGCAACAAAGTGCATCAATAGACAAACAGCAATGCAAATGTGAAAAGTTCAATGAGAATGAATTCAACCTGCAATTATGCAGTGTAAAAAAAATGGAGGAGCTACTTAGCGAATTAAAATGAATACAGGTGAGACATTTAATAATAGAAAGAAGATAAACTCATACGATTTAAAATTTTGAGGATAACAAGACATGTGAAAATAATTTGAAAAGAAAACAGCCTTAAATTCATTTTGCTATTGTTGACACAAATGAACAGCCAAAGCAGTAATCGTTGCAGATCAATAGTTGGCGCTAATGCGTTATGATCATTAGTAAACAGAAGAAGAAGAAGAAATTATTCCTCATCAGTGTTCAGGTATGTTTTGTCTTCATTAAAAATAGTAACTCTTGATTGGTTCCTGATTCTGACGCATCTTAGGTTGTTATCAAAATCAGACATGTTTTGCTACAAGACGTGTGGTCCTTCGACTATCGGGGCCGTTTTAAAACACATTGCTTCCATGTTTGCAGGCAAGCGAGATATCTCCCCGGAGGTACGAAGATGCCCGAGTATTGTGTTGCTCACGGTTGCAAAAATGAGCGAAATGCCGAGGTCAAGGCACGGAAAATTACCTTTCACAAGTAAGTTTGAATTCTTGTTATGTTAAAACAATAACTTGAGTGCAACTGTAATTTGTAGTCCACCAGAGTGAAATGCTAACAGCCAAAGCTATGTATTACTATTAAATAGCTACCAATTCAGTTATTTATTAACTTACTAATTTATCACGACTAGCAGGCTTCTATTAGTAGATATGCTAGTAATATTTTCCTGACGGTTGCATACTAAAATATATAATTTTGCCCGAAAATGCATCAAATAAAACTTCCAATGTCACAAAGATCACTTTGATAGGTTAAAAGTCGACAAGTTTGTAAATTATTGAGTAGAGTAGGCGCAATTAATAGGTACGTGAAAACCGGTGGTCTCAGTAATACTGCATGGCATTATTGCTGTGTGGTGGTTGTATAGTTCGTTAAAAATGAACGCTAGATGTCAAATGCTTAAAGAACATAGTAATTGACGTGTTGCAGCAATAACTCTCTCACCCTGATGGATTTTGACTTCATATATGGTATATCATAATATATAATATATCAGAACTTGGACTGGTTAACTGTTGCTATCTTGTGGCATGCTATAACCGTTTGACTCCATGTTTTTAAGGTTTCCAAAAGAAAAACATAAAAGGAGGCAATGGGAAGTTGCCCTCAGGAGAAAAAACTTTGTAGCCAGTGACCACTCAGTGCTCTGCAGTGTTCATTTTAATCCGGAGGACTTTGACAGGACTGGCCAAACTGTCCGGCTTAGAGCTGGAGCCATACCATCAGTTTTCAGCCTTCCGGCTCATCTCCACAAAGTAGGTGTATCGCTAAGCTATACATTGAGTAAGCATTATATATGCATATAATCCAAATAAATAACCCACGAAGGTTGATTTTAAACTGTATTTCAATCTTTTTACCATTTTAGCAGGCTTCAAAGAGAGCTAAAGAATGTCTGGAACTCGAGTCGATGGACGTGTCTCAGGCTGTCTTGAAACCAGCTCCTGAGCCAATTGTTGCTCGAATTACGATTGTAATTATCTGGATTTTAAACACTGTCGATCTTAGGTGCCAACATGCTGTTGTTGGTTCTAATCTCTGATTTTTCTGTCTTTTCTCATATCCAGGATGGTGACAGTGGGATTAATGATGAGATGAAGAATGATTCTCAATACCACACAACTGTGAGTGCTTTAATTTAATAACCTGCAAGAATTCCGAGCTTTGTACATTACGTGTGTGCAATCCATAAGAAAATAGTTGATGTATTGAGAGTTGAGCAGGGCGTGGTTTCAGAGCATTCAGCAAACATGCGTACAGCATGTTAAGGGCTGCAAGAACAGTTAGATTTTCATGATTTTTGAGCCTGGTTTTATGTCTTTATGGCCATTTCGTTTTATTCATTCAAATTTGTCAATCTTGATAACATTCTTCTCTGTGGTGTGTCGTCCATGACTTTGAGCATCATGTTTCAGGGACTTTAAACCTCAGTCCAAATATTTTCATCCATCTTTCTCATAGGATCACGCCTACGCATTGCCTCCTGCTTGCCTTCTAAAGAAAAGGCTCGATGAAGCCCTAGCAAGAGTGGAGAGTCTGGAACGTGACAGCAGGAATGCAAAAATCAGGGAAAGTAGGGCAAAGCAAACGGTGCGCTGCCTGATCGACGAACTGAAGGAGAAGGACCTCATCAACATAGAGCTACAAGACAGGCTTGATTTTTACTCAGGTCAAATGAAAGTACAAGTAAAGCAAATGCATACATTTATCAGCGTGCTTCAAAATAATTGCATTGGAAAGGTTTGCTGATAGAAATGTTGCACATCTCTGATAGATGCCCAGTTCCCTTGAGTCTCAAAGATGAACATTTCAGCACTTGATTTTAGTTTAGCTTTAGCACATTTAGGTTCAATAACACAGGATACCAACGTTTTATTTCTTCAGTTTATTTTAACAGTGATGCAAGTAAACTTTTCCCCTTGATTTTTTTTTTTTTGCGCTAACTCCGAATCTGCCCTCATTTTTTTCTCGAGCACAGTACCTCGGTTTTCATACTCATAATAATATAATAACAATAATGTAATGTGTAAATTTCTTTTCATGGCACTGTAGCTGTATTAGAGCACCTTTCATGTTTATATTTTTTGCTGGACTTCCTAAGTATTATTCACGACCAATTTACTAATTTGTTTCTATTCTTTGAATTTCAGGGCTGAAACTTGACCTCCTTGAAAAAAAGGGCCAAGAGTACTCCAAGGATCAGCGTGAATTTGCCCTCACGCTCCATCTCCATGGGCCAAAGGTTTATGATTACCTCCGCGACACTCTGCAACTTCCTCTCCCGCATTCAAAGACTTTGCAAAAGTAGGCATGTTGCACTTTTAAAAATGTTTAAAATCGTTTTGAGATGAATTTATTATTGAATAGATGTATGCAGAATTGTATCAGTCATTGTCACTGTGGGAGCTGGTCATCAACTCAATCAGGGCATCTGGTATGGATTCCAAAATGGAGCATATTGAATAAAATGAGGTTGACAAAGATGCATCACAACTGTATTGTTTTTCTTTTCGGCATATGTGCTTTTTTTTCCTCTCTCATTTTAAAGGTGGATGGGACAACAACCCCATGGCAGGACAATTTCAGACGATTTACCAGCCATATAATGGTTCAGAGTGACATTGAACCAACTGGATCAGGCAACGTGAAAGAATAGTACAAGGCTGTGTTTCTGTCCGCCCTGCTCCAGGAGGTGAAGAACCGAATGATTTTCCATACTCTTCTGCCGACATACTTGCCATCATGACTGACCATAGCTACCTGCCCACCCGTTGGTTGGTCTTATTGAAAATGCCTTGGTCTCCATTTCTGGTGGCGTTGTTGTTTGAAAGATGTTAATATTATGTAATGTAAAGTTTGTAGTTACCATATGCTTAAAATGTATTTTTTGAGGGAAAAACGTTTCCAACCCACACTGCTTACTTGTATAATAGCTACATGTCAGTCATTTGTAATAAAACTGCATTACAATTGTTTAAAAATTCAGTGAGTTCTGATGTCTTTTTTTTTTTAATTAGTATGCTTTTATGCCCTAAGTCTCTAAAGCAGGGCTACCCAACCTTTTTGAAACTAAGAGCTCCTTCTTGGCGACTGATTAATGCAGAGGGCTACTAGTTCGATAGAGTGCACTTTTGAAATAGATTTGCTCAAACTACTTTCATATGTTATAATTAATGACATTCATTTCTGAGAAGACACTGATCACATAAGCAATTTCGCACAATAATGATGAAATATAAACATCAATTGGCCACACTTTATAATAAATATCAGCCCGTTTTCACATTTCGAAATTATCACTTCTATCTGTATAACCATCTGCACTCACACTCACACCTAGAGACAATTTAGAGTGTTCAATCAGCCTGCCAAGTTTTTGGGATGTGGGAGGAAACCAGAGTACCCGGAGAAAACCCACACAGGCCCAGGGAGAAAATGCAAACTCCACACAGGAAGACCTGCACTATGCGGTCGACGGGCGAACCACTGGACCACCGGGCCGCACCCGTTTGTTTTCAAGACTTTACAATTACCTATGAGAATAGCCACAAAGCCCATCCAAAGGACGTAAGCAATTTACGACCTGACTGCACTCACTTACGGCAGTGTCATGGCGGCGCACGCAGTTTCTTTTGAGAGTTCAAGCACCATTGCTGATCGGAAGGACAGTAAACGACAGGCACGACAAGAAGCGCTTGAAAGGGTACATTCTAACAAGAGTTAACTATTTACATACATTCGATCTAATTCGACTCGGGTCAAAGCACACTTATTCCTGCTCTGATACAAGCTAGCAGTAGGCTAATGGCTAATGTTGTCACCGATTATAGACAAAACTGTCCAAACACGGACAAAGCTGATAGGACTCGCCGGCTCTGTTTGCCCGGTTTTTTTATGGCTTGTTTGCGGCAGGTCCGTCATGTTTACAGTGACTGTTATCTACTTGCTTTCAAGCTGTGTTTACAGTGCTACCTGCACAGAACTGA